AATAAGTAATTTTACATAAATATATTTTTGAACAATGATTGAAACATATTAAGTGTTCAGTATTATTTATTGTTATTGCTGTTGTCATTATTGTTGGGTAAATAAGTGAAATCCAATGCTATGAATACAAAAGGTATCTCGTGAAAAACAGGAAGCAACAAGGTCAGATATGATAGATAGTTGGTCAAAGAGGAGAACTGAAAGTAAGTCATGGGATCTGGGAACCAGAAGAGGCTTGTTGATTGGCTTCACCAGAATGGTGAGGACAAGAACCAGACTGCAGTGGGTAATGACTACATGGATGGTCAGAAAGTAAAAGGAATAAGGTTACTCCCATAAGTGTGCACTGAAAAGAGAATGACAGGACAAGGCTTGAAGAAGGAACCACTAAGGGACTTTATTTGAGGCTGGGGCAATGTATCCTTGTAGCTTGAGAAGGAAGATCAGGTGGAACACAAAGGGAAGACAATTACTGGAGCAAGGTCACCGAACAGGTGTGAAGGAAAGAGACCAGAGGTAAAAGTACAGTGATCCCTGCAGTGCCAGATATTCTTACTTCTCATGGACAAAAAGGAAATGAAAGAGACTAAATGCAAACAACAAGAAATACTACAGGGTATTTCTCCCAGCCTTGGACTCAATCTCTAGATGAGGTAGAAACATGGCCGTGTTGGGGGCTGGCGCTGTGGTGCAATGGGTTAAAGCCCTGGCCTGAAGTGCTGGCATCCCATATGGGTGCCTGTTCTAGTCCCAGCTGCTCCTCTTCTGATCCAGCTCTGTGCTATGGCTTGGGATAGCAGTAGAAGATGGCCCAAGCCCTTGGGCCCCTGCACCCACGTGGGAGACCTGGAAGAAGCTCCTGGCTCCTGGCTTCAGATCTGCGCAGCTCCGGCCTTTGCGGCCATCTGGGGAGTGAACCAGTGGATGGAAGACCTATATCTCTGTCGCTCTCTCTCTCTGTAACTCTGTCTTTCAAATCAATAAAATAAATCTTAAAAACAAAAAAAGTGGCAGTGTTGGATTTTTATGGCTACATTTAAGCTTATGAAAATGAACTTAGGTATACCACCATGGTGATAAATGGAAGTCCCTTCTGCTCTTGAACGAAAGGAAGTAATATTTATGATGTTTAGGCATAATTATCCTGAACACTAAGATACAGAAATAATTAGGTATAATTTAGAGTTTGAGAAATTAAGATAGTCTGGCAGAATTTGTAATTTTTATAAGACACTTAACTCTGACACTGTTTATCTGCTCATAATTAGGACAAAACATGAAAAATGATTTTGAAGTACCAGTCAAAAGATTAATATTTTAACTTTGGTATTTTGATATCAACTTTGATATTTTAACTATGGTTAAATCATTTCTGAAAATTATTTCTTGCTATATCTTTAAATTAAGTAACTTACAAAGGCTCAAACAAAGCATTTCAGTTTTTGTATTTATCTGGTACTAACCATCAGCTAACCACCAAAAACATCAGCTTAATTTTTTAAATCAAATACTATTCTTTTTTTTTTTTTTTTTGACAGGCAGAGTGACAGTGAGAGAGAGAGACAGAGAGAAAGGTCTTCCTTTTTTCTGTTGGTTCACTCCCCAATGGCCGGTGCACCGTGCTGATCTGAAGCCAGGAGCCAGGTGCTTCTCCTGGTCTCCCATGCGGGTGCAGGGCCCAAGCACTTGGGCCATCCTCCACTGCACTCCTGGGCCGTGGCTCAATAGGCTAATCCTCCACCTGTGGCGCTGGCACCCCAGGTTCTAGTCCTGGTCGGGGCGCCAGATTCTGTCCCGGTTGCTCCTCTTCCAGTCAAATACTATTCTATATGTACAAGTCACACAATATCAATTCCTCAAAATTAAATTAGAAATTACCATCCAAAGCAATATATAGATTCAATGCAATTCATATCAAAATACCAATCATATTCTTCACAGAAGTAGAAAAATACATCTAAAATTTTTATGGATCCTGAATACCCAAAGGTATCTTGAGCAAAAAGAACCAAGTTAGAGGCACCACAATATTTGACTTCAAAACATACTACAAGGCTATAATAAACAAAACAGCATGGTACTGGCATAAAACAAGATACACAGACTATTGAAACAGAATAGAACACCCAGAAATAAATCCATAAATTCATAGCCAAGTCATTTTTTTTTTGACTAAGGTCCTAAGAACATATATTGGAGGAAGGGCAATTTCTTCAATAAGTGGTGCTAGGAAAACTGGACATTCATATGCAGAAAAAAGAAATTGGACCCCCTATCTCTCATCCTATCAAAAATAAATGAAAATATATTAAAGCACTAAATGTGAATCTTGAAGCCATGAAATTACTAAAAAGAAACATAGGGGAGACGTTCCAGGACATTAGACTATGCAAAGATTTTTTGGTAAGATCCCAAAAGCATAGGCAACAAAAGTAAAAACTGTCAAATGGGATTGTATCAAACTAAAAAGATTCTGCATAGCAAAGGAAATAATCAACAGAGTGAGTTAAGAAACAATCTAGGGGCCAGCACTGTGGCACAGTGGGTAAGGCTGCCACCTGCAGTGCTGGCATCCCATATGGGTGCCAATTCAAGTCCCAGCTGCTCCACTTTCAATCCAGCTCTCTGCTATGGCCTAGGAAAGCAGTAGAAGATGGCCCAAGTCCTGTGTGGGAGATCTGAAAGAAGCTCCTGGCTCCTGGCTTCAGATCAGTGCAGCTCTAGCCATTGTAGCCAACTGGGGAGTGAACCAGCGGATGGAATACCTCTCTCTCTTTCTCTCTCTCTCTCTCTGTGTAACTCTTTCAAATAAATAAATAAATAAATAAATAAATCTTTTTTAAAAAAAGAGAGAATCTAGAGAATGGGAGAAAATACCTGCAAACAGTTATCCTACAAGAGATTAATATCCAGAACATGTAAGGACCTTAATTCAAGAGTAAAAAATAATCAAATAGGCTGGCACCACGGCTCACTAGGCTAATCCTCCGCCTGCAGTGTGGGCACCCCAGGTTCTAGTCCCGGTTGGGGCCGGATTCTGTCTCAGTTGCTCCTCTTCCAGTCAAGCTCTCTGCTGTGGCCTGGGAAGGCAGTGGAAGATGGCCCAAGTGGTTGAGCCCTGCACCCACATGGGAGACCAGGTGGAAGCACCTGGCTCCTGGCTTTGGATCGGCGCAGCGCGCCGGCCGTAGCAGCCATCTGGGGAGTGAACCAACGGAAGGAAGACCCTTCTCTCTGTCTCTCTCACTGTCTAACTCTGCCTGTCAAAAAAAAAAAAATCAAATAAAAAGGGCAAATGATCTGAACAGACATGTCTAGAAAGATACAAACGGACAATAAGTATATGAAAAAATGTTCAATATTACTAATTATCAGTGAATACAAGTCAAAAGTGTTATATATTAATGTTAGCCGTCACAAAACACACCGAACGCCGGAGTAATGGAAAGGGTTTATTGGGGAACACCCAACAGACCGGAGTGAAGGGGAGGAGAAGGAAAAAAAGAGAGAAAGAGAGTATAAGAGAAACAGAGAGGAGAGGAGCTAGCAAGGAGAGAAGAGAGATGAGAGGAGCCAAGAGAGAGGAGAAAGCAGAGAGGAGCCGAGAGAGAGAGAGTCAAGAGACCAGAGGAGGAGGCTAGAGAGAGGAGAGCGAGCAGGAGAGAAGAACCAAGAGAACGCAGGAGAGAAGAGCCTAGAGAGCACGTGTTCAGGAACAGGCCCTTTTAAAACTTTGCCCGAGGGCAGGCAGGGAAGCAGGAGCAGCAAATCCCATTAGGATGGGGGTGGAGCTTGACACAGAGGTTGGGCCATGCGGCCACCTGGCTTCCAGCAATGGCGGCGGGGGCTAGGGCCTAGGATGTAAATCAGGGTGTAGATTGCGCCATAGATAAAACTGTGCCAGTTTCCTAACAAAAAGCACAAAATATTATCTTGCCCCAGTGGCTGTTATAAAAAAAAAAAAAAAAACTGGTGAGGATGTAGAGAAAGGGAAACTTTCATATGCTATTGGTGGGAATGTAAATTAGAAGCCATTATGGAAAACAGTATGGTGGTTTCCAAAAAAATAAGAACTACTGTAGAATTCAGCAATCCCACCATGAGGTATATATATTCACAGGATAGGAAATTGGTATGTCTGAGAAATATCTGTACTCCCATATTTACTGTAGCACCAGCCACAGCAGCCAAGATATGGAATCAACCTAGCTGCTCATCTACAGAATTATGGATAGAGAAAATATGGTACATATACATAAAGGAATACTATTCAGCCAGGAAAAGAATGAAATCTTGCCATCTGTGGCAACATGGAAGACCCTGTGTACATTATGGTAAATGAAATAAGTCAGACACAGAAAGACAAATACCACATGTTCTCATTTATATTAGTATATGAAAGGTAAAACAGTTGATCTCATGAACATAGAAAATAGAATGCAGTCACCAGAAGCTGGGAAAAGTTGGAGAAAGCAGGAGGGAGAGAGGTTGGTGATCTGAATACAGGAATTCAGTTGGGTAAGAATAACTTCTAATGTTGTATAGCATGGTAAAATAACCATGGTTGACAACAGTTAATTGTGCATTTTAAAATAGCTAGTAGAGAGGCTTTTTAATATTCTTGACACAAAGAAATGATAACTATTTGAGGTGATGAATATATTAGCTACTCTGATTTGAACATATACTTTATGTACATGGATTGAAATATCACACTGTACGCCATAAATATATACCATTACTGTATCTCAATTTAACATGTGTGTATATACATATATACATAAAATTTTGTTTCTTTTAAAAATCCACCTGAAATGATTTAGGGAAGGTAAAAATTCTATCATGGACCTTGTTGGGTTAAAGAGTAAAGTTTCAAATTCCAGTGGGATATGCAGAGCCCACTGAGCCCAGAAATGGACTCTAAGGAAATGTTATTTACCTAATATCTAATAAAAAGATTAAACGCTTGTTACGGAAGTGACATGCCCTCAGTGACTTACCTCTCAAGATGAACATAATGCCGAGAAAGAACATTTTTAACCAAAAATATAGTCCTTGCATTAGTCTCCCGATCCATCAATTTGGAAAAATATAGTTTTGCACGAAGAAAATAACCAACAGGCCACAGCCACTCCTATGAAAAGATAATTGAAAAGAAAAAAAACTGAATATATAAAATTATTTGAATAAAAGAATTTAAATTGAAAAGTCAGAGAAGAGAAAGGAAATTCTTACAGGTCCTTGGTGATAATTGAAACCTTTAGCAAGATTATAGTTGTCATTGTCTAAGGCATTGTCGTAAATTCCACAGTAAACCATATCACTGCAAAATGATTGGAATTTAAGTTAAATAAAGGAAAATCAGACATTATAGTTGAAGCATGAGAAAGACTTAACATCAAAGATAAGAGAAATTATCAAATTATTTTGTCTTCCAATGTATAGAATAAGCTCAGCATTGATACATTAATCATTTTACCTTAAATTAGTATATACTGAGTTCAGAGGACTTTAATAATTTATTATGGAATGACTGACAAGCACGTACTGGCTAATATTAAAAAACATAAAATATTCAGTTATCTTACCTTCAAAGATTTGTACTGACACTAAATACTGGTTAAAGTCAACTATTTTATCAGGCTTCTAATATGTATAAAAAAGTACATTTAGAATAATTTGAACCAGCAAACACTGACAGTTGAGTAATTATACATTGCAAAGGTTGTTTCTGAAACTTCTGAAAGTTATTGTAAAATTAAAGTTATAAATAGCAACTTTATATTTTTACAATATACAGAATTTATAACATACCTATAAACTAAACAAAATATGTCAGACTTAATGCAACACATAAAACAAGACAGTTATCTACACTTGGTTTAATTAAATTGCCTTTTTTTTTTTTAGTGAGATAGAACTAGCCACAGGAATAAGCTTTAACTGTAGATTTTAGTCTTGACCAGTGGTTCTTGAACATCTCTGGAACTGTAAATACCTCAGGATGCAGAGAAGAATATAGATATAAAATTTTGCTTCTTAAGACTGAAATAAGCACACAGTAAAGCAGAAAAAAATCTAAAAAGGTGGGTCTCTGTCATTTTTGATATAGAAAGCAAGTTGATGATGTCTATCAAGCTTTAAAGGAAAACAGTAGAAGAAAAAGTCACTAGAAACTCAAGAAAAAAAAGTTGGGAAAAAAAGGGGAATATAACATGGAATAAACACAAAATCATAAAATAAAAACAAAATTCTTTATTGATTTAAATAAAGGGAGTGGTATAATTAGATGGGAAGTATGGAGAGGATTAATGGTGAAGTGAGATTAGAATTAAATACTCATCTGTCATCACAGGAAGTAAACAAATAATACTTAATACTTAAAAATCATAAGAGTTATATAAACATATTTAGAAATACGAAAAGAACAACTAGAAGACACAAAAAGTTTGAGAAGAAAGATTAGGGGTGGAGAAATGGAGCAAGAGCTTGGAGGTTTTTTTCATGTTCTTATAGGTATGTGCATACAAGGTACAAATTTGTATAAAATGCACAGCAAAGACTGGGCAGTAGGCTAGATGATAGTGGTGTTTATTTCTAGATATCTTTAGAGGAAGAGATTATTGAAGAATTATTTTTTTCTATATACATTTGTAACTTTCCAATATTCACAATAATCGTGTTCATTTATAATCAGAAAAAAACAGCTATCAGAACACAGGAGTAATTATAATGTATTAGTTTTATAAACTGAAAACCAGTTGATTACTGAATAGAGGATAAGCTAAGGCATGGTGAAAACTCACACTTTATGAAAATAAAGAAGTTGTTTTCAAAAACAGTTTACAACTTAAGATGTGTTATTGGCAGTCAAATATACTATGGTTAATGTCAATGTATTTGGATTTAATATAATATCAACAATATTCTTTTTAATACTTATATTCCTACTTACTCTGGATCTAAAGTTTTCATGCCCAGGGGACCAAGCAATTTTTTTTCTGCAATCTCCAAAGCTTTCCATGCTTTTTCTGCAGTAAAGAGTTCTGGGGCCTAATGAATGTCAAAAACAAATATGCAAACTTCTTTTTACGACCACAGAAGAGTTAGTTCTTATCCACCTAAATCATTCACAAACTCGGAAAAGAATAAAAATTCTTAAATTATTTAAAAATACTGGGTGGGTCAGAATTTGAAGAATTTGATCTTAACCAGATCTAATCCTATCTAATCCTATCAGGCAACCTAGAAGCACTGTCCTTGGCCTTAGAAGCCAGGAAAACTCATAGAGTTGATACTTTCTTATGCCACTTCAAGAACGTGTACCAGCCTGAAAAATGGTGCCTCCACAGCATAATGGAGACAGAAAACATTTAAACTCATCTCATTCACTCTTCAGAAGATTTACAAGAGATTCCTTTGAGCATATTGGGTACCCATTTTCTGCTTCTAGCATCACAATAAAATAACTTGTAGTGTAACAGCATGAGAATACTTCTTTTTGTATGGACAAAGAAGAGACAGAAAGCACTGTTGATCAATAATTTGCAATGGTTAAATGAAATCAAATGGACTCTGAAATGAAGCTATATTTATATACCTTTATGTTTTTCATTGTACTGTAGTCAGGAATGCTACTTTTTAAGCTCTTACTCACTCCCATTATCTGCTTCTAATTATATGTAGGGATAGATTTTTTTTTAAGTAATTCATTTTTTATTCTCATAAAAAGAGTGACACGACAGGCAGGCAGGGACAGAGAAAAAAAAGGGATCTTCCATCCTCTGGTTTACTCCCCAAATGCCTATAGCATCTGAGGCTGGGCCAGGCTGAAGTGAAGCCAGGAGCCTGGAACTCAATCCAGGTCTCCTATGTGGGGCACAGGGATCCAAACTAGCTGAGCAAATTCCTGCTACCTCCTAGGGGTATGCATTAGCAAGAAGCTGGAATCAGAAGCAGAGACAGGACTTGAACCCAGGCACTCTGATTTGGAATGCAAGTGTCCCAAGCGGCATCTTAAATGCTGTGCCAAATGCCTATGCTGAGTTAACTATGCTTAGTAATCTTTTATATAATATAGGAACAACTAGGCAGACATGGAAGAACACATATATTTTTCTATGTTATTGCCCTAGATTATTTTTTTAAAACTTTTATTTAATGAATATAAATTTCCAAAGTACAGCTTATAGATTACAATGGCTTCCCCCCCATAATGTGCCTCCCACCTGCAACCCTCCCCTTTCCCGCTCCCTATCCCCTTCCATTCACATCAAGATTCATTTTCAATTATCTTTATATACAGAAGATCAGTTGAGCATACATTAAGTAAAGATTTCAACAGTTTGCTCCCACACAGAAACATAAAGTGAAAAATACTGTTTGAGTACTAGTTATAGCATTAGATCTCAATGTACAGCACACTAAGGCCAAAGATCCTACATGAGGAGTAAGTGCACAGTGACTCCTGTTGTTGACTTAACAAATTGACACTCTTGTTTATGGCATCAGTAATCACCCTAGGCTCTTGTCATGAGCTGCCAAGGCTATGGAAGCCCCCTGAGTTCACCGACTCTGATCATATTTAGACAAGGCCATAGTCAAAGTGGAAGTTCTCTCCTCCCTTCAGAGAAAGGTACCTCCTTCTTTGATGACCCGTTCTTTCCACTGGGATCTCACTCGCGGAGGTCTTTCATTTAAGTTTGTTTGTTTGTTTGTTTGTTTGTTTTTTGGCAGAGTGTCTTGGCTTTCCATGCCTGAAATACTCTCATGGGCTTTTCAGCCGGATCCGCATGCCTTAAGGGCTGATTCTGAGGCCAGAGTGCTGTTTAGGACATCTGCCATTCTATGGGTCTGCTGTGTATCTCACTTCCCATGTTGGATCGTTCTCTCCCTTGTTTATTCTATCAGCTAGTATTTGCAGACACTATTCTTGTTTTTGTGATCCCTTTGGTTCTTAGTCCTATCATTATGATCAATTGTGAACAGAAATTGATCTCTGGGACTAGTGAGATGGCATTGGTACATGCCACCTTGATGGGATTGAATTGGAATCCCCTGGTATGTTTCTAACTCTACCGTTTGAGGTAAGTCAGCTTGAGCATGTCCCGAATTGCACATCTCTTCCCTCTCTTATTCCCACTCTTATATTTAACAGCGATCACTTTTCAGTTAAGTTTCAGCACTTAAGAATAATTGTGTATTGATTATAGTATTCAACCAAAAGTATTAAGTAGAACAAACAAAAAAAAAATACTAAGAGGGATAACATATTAAGTTGCTATGCCCTAGTAGATTATTTTTGATGGTAAGTAAAAGATCAGTAGAGTTAAGAAATGAGAGAGTCTAGAATTCTTAATTACAGCAATATAACAAAGAAAACAGAATGTGAATTTAAGCTACTTGTTTTACTTCACTAGTTCAGAGCTTTCCAACCAGTGTGCTGCAACACAGGTTGTGACACAGGTGTGTTGAAATACAGATAACTTCAGTTTTTGGGGCAGGTAGGTGGGGCCTGGGGTTCACTGAGGCCATTAGATCTGGCATAAGCAGCTTAATACATTTATCCCAATGTGCTGCACAAATATTATAATTGTCTATGTGTGATATTATGTGAAAAAAATGTTGGGAAGACTTTGTTAGTCTTCATCCATTATTTCCTACTTTTTGATACTGTATGCTCTAGGGTAAAGGTAATCTGCATAATATATTATTAATTAGATTATATAAACAGGTAGTAAACAATTACAAATGTGAAGGAAGAACTAAGATCTTTCACAACACCTTTTGAAATTTAATAATAGCAAACACCTACCACAACCATTGCTATTGTAAAGTTGGGCCTGAGCTGGTAGTCACACCAAGGACTTGAAGCTCCGTAACTATCTTTGTAGATGCCACGCTTGTGAACCAGATTTGGATGTTCTTCATTGGATGCTGAAGGATCTTCTGAAACATGAAACCGCTTTTCAAAGTTGTCTTGTATTTTCCTGTTCCACTCCTCATATGAGACCGTTACCACCTTTCCTGCAAAATGATCACAGACAAGTTAGCTTTACATATCCAAAGCAATTCATACATCTAATTATAGCCAAAAAGTAATATTTACTTATTTTTATCTATGATAAGAAAGAAATTATTCACTTTGAAAATGAAGGCTAGTCTGAATTGAGATGTGCTATAAATGTAAAATATACACTGGCCTTTGAAAATCCAGTTACCTCTCAAAAAGAATATAAAATGGCTAATGAATAATCTTATATTGATTACATGTTGAATAATATTTTACATACACTGGGTTAAATACAAATACTTTATCATTTACTTCAACTGTTTTGTTTAAGTTTTAAATGTGGGCCTTAGAAAATTTTAAATTATGAATGTGGCTTAAGCTGTATTTCTATTGGACAGCACTATTCTAGAAAAAGAGAAGTAAAGACTTCAGAACTGAATTCACAAACTTGCTCACAGGCATGCTGAGGAAAAAGGGAAGCACAATAAGGCGGTAACTATGCTGATTTTCTTACCTCAATTCAGAGTTGCTATAAAACCACCACAACAACCAGGTCTGTTACAACTTTCAAAGTAAATTAATGATTTCTATTTCCTCTTAACCTTAAAGGTTTTCTAATATCAACAGACTGAACCAAATACAATTAAATACATTAATAATATAGACAATATATTAGAAATTTCTTTGCAAATAAAATGAACAGCTTACCATGTCTTTTTACTCTGACTTCATGATAAGGGAAAATATTTTTTTTGGATAACTCCAGCAACCAACGAACTGTAGATTTACATAGGCCCACAATTTCCACAGCAGACCCATCTCTAAAATTAAAAATAAAGTCTTTTCTTTATGTTTGAGTCATTTAATAAGCACTATTGAAAGGTCATTCAGAGGTGGGTGTTTGATGTAGCAACTAGGCAGCCACTTGAGATGCACACAGTCCTTCCTGGATTCCTGGCTCCTCTGCTTCTGATTCAGCTTCCTGCTAATGTGTATCTGGGGAAGCAACAGATGATGGCTCAAGTACTACAAGTCCCTGCAATCCACATAGGGGGCCCAGATGGAGTTCTAAGTTCTTGGCTTCTATTTGAAAGTGAACCAGCAGATGGAAGATCTCTCTCTATTTTTCAAATAAAATGAGAGTAGATATATGAAAAGCTTAAAAAAGGGTATTCATGTCCCATAATTTCTTTATCCAGGCTACTGTTGATGGGCATTTGGGTTGGTTCCAGGTCTTACCTATTGCGAATTGAGCTGCAATAAACATTAATGTGCAGACAGCTTTTTTGTTTGCCAATTTAATTTCCTTTGGGTAAATTCCAAGGAGTGGGATGGCTGGGTTGTATGGTAGGGTTATATTCAGGTTTCTAAGAAATCTCCAGACTGACTTCCATAGAGGCTTAACCAGTTCGCATTCCCACAGACCTAAATGAAAGATCTCTGCGATTGAGATCCCAGTGGAAAGAACGGGGCCATCAAAGAAGGAGGTATCTTTCTCTGAAGGGAGGAGAGAACTTCCAGTTTGACTAAGACCCTGTCTGAATAAGATCGAAGTCAGCGAACTCAAAAGGCTTCCATAGCCTTGGCAACTCATGACTAGAGCCTAGGGAGATTATTGACGCCATAAACAAGAGTGTCAAATTGTTAAGTCAACAACAGGAGTCACTGTGTACTTACTCCTCATGTGGGATCTGTCCTTATGTGTTGTCCAATGTGAAGTAATGCTATAACTAGTACTGAAACAGTATTTTACACTCTGTGTTTCTGTGTGGGTGCAAACTGATGAAATCTTTACTTAATATATACTAAATCGATCTTCTGTATATAAAGAGAATTGAAAATGAATCTTGATGTGAATGGAATAGGAAAGGGAGTGGGAGATGGGAGGGGTGAGAGTGGGAGGGAAGTTATTGGGGGGGGAAGCCATTGTAATCCATAAACTGTACTTTGGAAATTTATATTTACTAAATAAAAGTTAAAAAAAGGATATTCAGTAATAAATTTTAATAATTACAAGCCATTAAGAATCCTTACTTTTTTTAAAAAAAGATTTATTTATCTGAAAGTCAGAGTTACACACAGAGAGAAGGAGAGGCACAGAGAGAATGGTCTTCTGTCTGCTGGTTCACTCCCCAGTTGGCTGCACCAATCTGAAGCCAGGAGCCAGGAGCTCCTTCAGGGTCTTTCATGTGGGTGCAGGGGCCCAAGGACCTGGGCCATCTTCCACTGCATTCCCAGGCCATATCCGAGAACTGGATTGGAAGTGGAGCAGTCGGGACTCAAACCCGCGCCCATAGGGGATGCCAGCACTGCAGGCAGCGGCCCTACCTGCTATGCCACAGCACTGGAGCCTAAAAATCCTTAGTTTAAAGGAGTATGTATTGCATTATGTAAAAAAAAAAAAAATCTCCTCTTACTATTTTGCAATTGTTTATCTTCCTAATATACATTTTAAAAGCTTTTTTAAGATTTACTTGTTTATTTGAAAGACAGGGTTAGAGAGAGAGAGAGAGAGAAAGCGAGATCCTCCATCTGCTGATTCACGCTCCAAGTGGCCGTTATGACCAGGACTGAACCAGGCTGAAGCCTGGAGCTAGGAGCTGCATCTGGGTCTCCCAAGAGGGGAGCCCAAGCACTTGGGCCATCTTCTGCTGCTTTTCCCATGCCATTAGTAAGGAGCTAGATCAGAAGTGGAGCAGCTGGGTCATGAACCAGCACCTAAAAGGGATATGAAGTTGCAGGCAGTGGCTTCACCCCATGCCCCAGAGCTCCTTTCTGAGGAACAATAAAAAAGAAGTATAAGATCTAATAATGTAGCAAAACAGTTATTAAAGAAATTAAAAATCAAATAAACACAACAACTACTAAATGCTTTTTTGGATAATTCTTAGTGAAAATAAAATTTAGAATAAGAAAATAGCTTCTCAGCTTAATATAGTATTAGAAGCTATTTTCTGATAGCTTTTGAAATCATGGAAAGAAAAAAATTAAATGACAAATTCTGGGATGAAAGATTTAAAAAAAAAGGAGGAAAAAGGTTCAGGAAGTGAAAGTTTTTCATAAAAGAATAACTAGTGGTTTTCCATGTTTGCAAAAGATGGGCATAATGAAATGTTTACACTGAAAGAATGTCTTAATAGAAACAATGAATGATAAAATGTTTTTCGCAGGTGCTGGTAGACAATCTATGAGAACTTCCAAAAGAGAACAGATAGATTTATTTGATGACTTATACCAAGAGGATTGTGTGTATGTGTAATGGGGCAGAGGAAGGGATGAGTGGAACAGAAAGTGGTTGAGAGAAGGAGAAAGGCTGATTTTGATTGACTTAATATGAAGAGTTCATGGTTGATATAGTAAAAGATTCCACAAATATGTGCTTTTAAAAAAGGAAACAGTAAAATATGACAGTGTAAGCAGTATAAAATAAACACTACCTGGGAGTGGCTGGGATCCCTCTGTTTCTCGCTCTGTCACTTTCTCCCATTTTATCCATCCACGTACCACAATTGAAGCGATTTCCTCCATAAACAAATCCTGTTTCTTCATTAACCCCAGCAATTACAGTAAAACCTAAAAAAGCAAAATAAAACATTTATAATGAATTATGATATATTACATATAGCATGTAAAAATAAGAATTTTATTTGTAACATTTATACAGTTTTAAAGGAATATAATAAACCAATACAATCATTCTGAGATCAATTTGGTAATACCCTGCAAGTTCTAAGTGAGTGCATTCTGCCACTTGGTGACTTCATTTCCATATATACACACCCTAGAGAAACCCAACCCATATGCACACGGAGATGTGTACAAGAATATTCATTACAACTATGCTTGCATGACTATAAAAATGAACAACCAATCAGTAGAAGAAAGGAGAAACACTGTATTGTACTTATACACTAGAAAACTCTATTAGCATTTAAAATTAATAAATTGGATTTACATGTATCAACATGGATGAATCCTTAAAATAAAATGGGTGAGTAAAAATGATGCAAAAAGCTATGTACAAAAAGAAATATTTCAGTAAAAATTTAAAACATAAATAATACTAATATTTTATGTCTACAATATGTCTAATAATACATGCCTATGTGGCTGTATCTAATATAATATTTGTGTAGAATTTAAAAACATAAAATAGTTACATATAGTATATATCTATTACATTATAGAGCAGTGAATACTACTACATTATATCATATATAATTTGCACATACTCAAACACATAAACACATGAAGTTTAAAAACATGCATGGAAACAGTAAACTTTGATTATATGACAGCTGGAAAAGATCAAGATGAAGTTTATATGCATCTTACTTGGTCATTTCTTTTCAAAAGAAAGATCTGAAGAAAATATGACCAAATGCTAAAATCTTGGGCCAGTGTTGTGGTGGTGTGGGCTAAGCTGCCATCTGCAATGCTGAAATCCTACACTGGAGTGCTGGTTCAAGTCCTATCTACTCCACTTCCAACCCAGCTCCCTGCTGATACACTTGGCAAAGCAGCAGGAGAAGGCCCAAGTGCTTGTGCCCTTGTGACCCACGTGGGAGATCTATATAGAGTTCCAGACTCCTGGCTTTGGTTGAGGCCAGCCCCAACAATTGCGGCCATTTGGGGAGTGAATCAGAGGATGGAAGATCTGTTTATCTCTTTCTCTCCCTTTCTCTTTGCCAGTCTGTCTTTCAAATAAATAAAATACATCTTAAACAAATTGAATTCCCAGCTCTTTTTTTTTTTTTAAATAAAAGAGTTATTTATTTGAAAGTCTGAAAGTCAGAGTTACAAAGAGAGAGGAGAGAGGAGGGAGGAGAGAGGAGAGTGGAGAGTGGATGAGGTGGAGAGTGGATGTGTGAGAGAGAGAGAGAGAGAGAGAGAATGAATGAATGAATCTATCCGTTGGTGCACTCCCCAGATGGCCGCACCAGCCAAGGCTGGGCCAAGCTGAAGCTAAGAGCCAGGAGCTTCCTCTAGGTCTCCCACATATACAGGGGCCCAAGGACCAGAGCCGTCTTCCACTGCTTTCCCTGGCCATTAGCAGGGAGCTGGATTGGAAGCAGGGCATCCAGGACTCAAACAGTGTCCATATGGGATGCCAGCATGGCAAATGGTGGCTTAACCCACTGCACCACAGTGTTGGCCCTGAGTTCCCAGCTCTTGATTTTGATCTGGCCCTACAGGCATTCTGAGAGTGAACTAGTAGATGTGAGATCTCTCTCTCTCTCTTTCTCTCTCTCTCTCTGTGTGTGTGTGTGTGTGTGTGTGTGTGTGTATATATATATACACTTTTCAAATAAATAAAAATAAATTTAATAAATTAAAGGCATTTTTCAAAGGGTTAAATACAAATAGCCAACAGACCACATGAAAAAGTACTCAGGATCACTAGCCATCAGGGAAATGTAAACCAAAACCACAATGAGACTTCACTTCACCAGTTAGAATGAATATCATCCAAAAATCAAAAAACAATAAAAGCTGGCAAGGATGTGGGAAAAAAGGTATTCTAATCACTGTTGATGGGAATGTAAACTAGTACAACCATTATGGAAGACAATGTAGAGATTCCTGAAAGATCTGAAAATAGACCAACCGTTTGCTCCAGCCATCCCACTCCTGGGAATTTACCCAAATTAAATTAAATCTGCATATGAAAGAGTTATTTGTATCCCCATGTTTATTGCAGCTCAATTTACAACAGCTAAGATATGGAATCAACCCAGATGTCCATCAACTGATGACTGGGACAAAGAAAATGTGATGTGTGTGTGTGTGTGTGTCCATGCATGTATAAATACACACACTACGGAACACTACTCAGTCATAAAAAGAATGAAATCCTGTCTTTTGCAACAAAATGGATGCAACTAGAAAACATTATGCTTAGTGAAATAAGCCAGTATCAAAAGACAAATATGTGGCACTTACTATAGAACTCAAAAAATGTTAAAAATGAAATGGACATTCTGGGATATGACTGTCATTTTAACCTTTGTATATACTCCTGTGGAACTGTTGTCTTCCTACTTTTTACTTGTTAAATGTTACGATTAGTGGCAAATTAAGCCTGTTAATATAGAGTGTATTAAAATTACATCTTTGCAAAAACTGATGTAGAGAGGGAGGGAGGAGAATTGTGGGGGAACAGGGAGTGAGGGAAGTGTGGTTGTCTTCTTGGAACTGTGCCTGCAGAATGCATGAAATCTTTATATTAATAAAAATCTTTATAATTAAATCTTTATATTAATAAAAATTAAATATTTATATTAATAAAAATTAAAAAAGAAAAACACACCCTAAAATTAATTTGGAATCTCTAGGAACCCCGAATAGCTAATATAATCTTAAAAAAGACAAACTTGGAAGACAGACTTCCTGATTTTAAAACTTACTGCAAAGCTATAGTATCAAAATAGTATAATTTTAGCATAGTGACAGTCATATAGTCCAATGGAACAGAATAAAGACTGCAGAAATAAACCCCTGTTATTGTATGGTCAAATATTTTCTGACAAGGATGCCAAGACCATCTGATGGTAAAAGGACAGTCTTTGCAGCCAATATTGCTTGGAAAACTGAATACCCATTGAAAAAAAAATGAAGTTGAATCATATACAATATACGAATGTTAACTCAAAACTGCCCAAAGACCTAAGAATAAGAGTTAAAACTATAAAATTCTTAGACAAAAATGTAGTGTAAATGCTTCATGACATTGGTTTTGGTGAGGAATTACTGCACATGACACCAAAAACACGTGAATAAAATAGATAAATTTGACTTCATCAAAGGTCACTGCCAAGACTGAAAAGATAACCTACAGTATGGGAGAAGGTATTTGCAAATTATATATATATATATACATATATATATATATTTTTTTTTTTGACAGGCAGAGTTAGACAGTGAGAGAGAGAGAGACGGAGATAAAGGTCTTCCTTTTCCATTGGTTCACTGCCCAAATGGCTGCTATGGCCGGCGCACTGCGCCGATCCAAAGCCAGGAGCCAGGTGCTTCCTCCTGGTCTCCCATGCAGGTGCAGGGCCCAAGCACTTGGGCCATCCTCCACTGCACTCCCGGGCCACAACAGAGAGCTGGACTGGAAGAGGAGCAACCAGGACAGAATCCAGCGCCCCAATCGGGACTAGAACCCAGGGTGCTGGTGCTGTAGGCAGAGGATTAGCCAAGTGAGCTGCAGCGCTGGTCTGCAAACTATATTTGATATAAGTTTAACAGCCAAATTATACCAAGAGCCCTACAACTCTACAACAGATAGTCTCAACGATGCAATTCAATAATGGGCAAAGGACTTGAGCAATCACTTCTTTAAACAAGATATACATTTGGCCAAAAAGCACATGGAAAGGTTCAAGTTCAGTAATCATCACAGAAATGCAAATTAAAACCAAAATGAGATATCACTTCATAACCATCAGGATGACCACTACCAAAAGAACCAAAGTTGTAAGTTTCAGTGATGATTTGGAGAATTGGAAGCCCTGTGCACTGTTAATATGAATGTAAAAGGTGCCATCATTATGGAAAATATTATAGAGATTCCTCAAAAAATTAGAATTACCAAATGACCTATCAATTCCACTTCTAGGTATATATCCAAAATAACTGAACATGGGATCTTGAAGAGATACCTGCATATCCACATTCACTGCACTATGATACACAGAGGTAGAGGTACTCATGTCCACTGACAGAGGATAAATAAATGTGGTAGAAACATACAATCGAATGTAACGCAACCTTACAAAGAAGAAAATCCTAGTAGTGGGCATTTGGTGCATTGGTTAAGTTGTTCCTTAGGATACACAACACCCATATCGAATCCTGGATCTACTGCCAATTCCAGTGTCCCACTAACATGTGTAGCCTGGGAGGTAGCAACTAATGGCTTAAGTACTTGGATTCCTGACACCCATTGGTTTGAGACCTGGGTTGAGCTCTGGGTTCTTGGCTTCAGCCTGGCCTGGCCCTAGTTGTGGGCATTTATGGAGTGGACCAGTAGATGGAGGATTTCTCTCTGTCTCTGTCTCAGAAACATTTAAAAACAGAATGAAATCCTATCACGTACTACAAACATGAGTGGACCCTGACATTATGCTAAATAAAATGAAGCAGTCCCAAAAGGATAAATACTGTATGATTTCACTCATATCAAGTACCCAATATAGTAAAAATCATAGAAACAGAAAGTAGAAAGGTGATTTCCAAGGGCTGGGGCAGTAGAGAAGGAATTAATCTTTAATGGGTACAGTGGTTCAGTTTTGCAAGATGAAAAAGTTCTAGAGATCTGCTGTGCAACAATCCCTTACCTGAATGACCTAACATGACCGAACTATATACTTAAAAATGGTTAAGGTGGCATATTTGTACATCTATATTATGACAATAAACAAGATATAAAAATTATAAAAGGAGTGAAATTGACACATTACTCCAGGGTTCAAACTTAAAAACAGACTTTATGCATATTTTACCACCGCATACATGCATATGTAAAACTCTCTCAGTAATCAAAAAACTAGTAATCAAATTAGAAAATGGACAAAAGAGACGAATAGAAATTCCAGCAATGATGGAAGATGATGGAAAATAAGCACATGAAAAGATGTTCAACATTAGGGAAACTCAAAGTCATAATGTGCAGTGGTCTACAATCAGAATGGCTTTTCTTAAAAAAAAAAAAAGTGGTAACACTAAAAGCTGGTGAGATGCAGAGAAACCAGACATTTGCTGGTGGAAATGCAAAATGGAATAATGATCCTTAAAAATAGTTTGGCAGTTTCTTATAAAACAAAACATGGGAGCTGTCACTGTCTGCAACAATGGTATCAAATATGGGTGCCGGTTCAAGACCTGGCCGTTTCACTTTAGACCCAGCTCCCTGCTAATGCACCTGGGAAAGTAGCAGAAGACAGCTCAAGTCCTTGGGCTCTTTCTTCCACATGTGAGATCTGAATGAAGCTCCTAGCACTTGGCTTCAGACTGGCCCAGCCCTGGCCATTGTGGTCATTTGGGGAGTGAACTAGCAGATGGAAGATCTTTATCTCTCTCTCTCTCTCTCTCTCTCTCTCTCTCTCTCTAACTCTGCCTTTCAAATAAAATCTTTTTAAAAAATAAAACAAAACATGTATTTACTGTATGACTCAAACATATTCTTGATCTTTTATCCCAGAAAAGTGAAAAACCTGCTTCACACAAAAGCTTATCTATGAAATGTTTATGGTAGTTTTATTTCTATAACCCAAAAATGGAAACAACCCAAATGTTTTCCAGTGGGTTAATAATTAAATAAATTCTGGTACATCCATAAAAGAAAACAACATCCAGGAATAATGTAACAATTTGGAAAGATTTCAAGGGCATTAATCTTAGTGGAAAAAAAAATCTCAAAAGCTAATATACTCTACGAGTCAGTTTAAATAAATTCCCAAAATGACAAAATTATAGATCTGGAGAACATATTAGCAGATGTCAGAGAGAAACAGTGGGAGTGGGGTTGTAGGTGTGACTATAAAGGAGTACACAAAGATTTTTGTGGTAATAAACTAGTTCTGTATCTTGATTGTGGTGCTGGTTGCATGAAGCTACACAAAGCATTAAACCACACATATACACAATTAACAGTTATGTAAGATGTCCCTATTGAGGGAAGCTTGGTGAGGTTTATGGTATTTTGCTTATTATTTTTGCAATCTTCTATGAGTCTCTAATTCTTCATAAATTACAAAGTTAAAAATACACATAAAACAACACATGCTTTACAAGATTAAAAACAAATGTACAACAAACTTATTGGAATAATTCTCAAAGTGGAATGAGAAATAAAATCATATAAATTATGAGTCATGTATTGGCTGATGATGTTAGTATACAGCAAGATAAGGAATATGACGAAATCAAAAGTAGTTTTAGGTGGACTGCGTTGTGGCATAGCAGGTTAAGCTGCCACTTGGGACACTGGCACCCCATATGGGCCAACCCAGCTCCCTTCTAATGCCTGGGAAAAGCAGCAGATGATTGCCCCAGTGCTTGGGCCTCTGCCACCCACATGGGAGACCTGGATGAAGCTCCTGGCTCCTGGATTTGGCCTGTTCCAGCTCTGGCTGATACGGCCATCTGGGAGTGAACCAGTTGTCAGAATATCTTTCTCTGTGTCTCATCCTGTCTCTGTAACTCTTTCTTTCTTTCTTTCTTTTTTTTTTAAAGGTTTATTTATTTATTTGAAAGTCAAGAGTTACACAGAAAGAGGAAAGGCAGAGAGAGAGGTTCTCCATTCAATGGTTCACTCCCCAATTGGCCACAACGGCTGGAGCTGTGCCGATCTGAAGCCTGAAGCCAGGAGCCAGGAGCTTCTTCCCGGTCTCCCACGTAGCTATAGGGGCCCAAGGACTTAGGCCATCTTCTACTGCTTTCCCAGGCCATCGCAGAGAGCTGGACCAGAAGTGGAGCAGCCAGGTCTTGAACTGGCACCCATATGGGATACTGGTGCTTCAGGCCAGGGCGTTAACCTGCTGTGCCACAGTACTGACCCCTCTGATTTTCAAAATAAATAAATAAAAATATTTAAAACACGCAAAAAACACAATAGTAGTTTGAAAAGTACATCTATTTTAACTCCATAGACAAATATACCTTTTCACAAAAAGTATTATGTAGGAGGCTAGATGAAACAGATGAAATGTTACCTCTGCAACTTAGCTATGTGACTCTGATTCTGCTTCAGTCTTCTCATGTTATAAACATAATTTATTCTCCATATTCTTTGGAGTGTTACATGAGAATAACACAGATAAAGGAGTTAACAAAATGTCTAGCAAATAGCACTCAATGGCAATTATGATGATGACTATAAATGTAACCATCAAAATTACCTTTTAAATTAGTTGACAAAAGATATAAAAGTTTATATTTCCTGTAAAGCTAAAAACTTGGTGATATTGGGAACTAAATTAATCTTTTCCATTGTTGTATCCTGAGAATTTGCATTCAAATAAATATTCGCCAAGTATTTGAACAATTACAAGGTTTAATTTCACATCATCGGTTTATCTTTATGCTGTAGTTAAAGTTCTGTACCTTCATCCTTCATGTTTCGGTCTATTTGTGGACCAGCATTCCTTTCCCGAAACTGGATGCCCTGCATGTGTCTTTGCATAGCCTCCTGTATTACATCAAACAATGGCTGATCCTGTTTGAGACACAATGGATTTTACCTCTGTCAGAGATTACATTTTTCTTACCCCCCCCTCCAAGTCCCACCATTAGAGCAATGTGTAAATATATACTTTCCTTTGTAGGGAGAAATGGGAATCATGGTGGGCTGGGGAAGGAGTTGTTTCTACCAAAATAACACCAAATAAGTTCGTCATATGAACATTTAATGTTAGTAGTTTTGTCTGCTCAGTCTTGTGATATGAAATAATCTGGAATTTTTCTAATACTGTGCATGAAAACAAACCTGGAACTTGTATAGTTTCTATCAGAGTGAACTGTTCAGCTACTAAATGAACCTAGCTGGTCATCCGGCAACTTGGCATTGCTGTTCTTACTCTTCTGCATATGCACATAGGAAATGGGGATAAACTGTGAAAAAGCAGAACCTCCAAATCTGGGGATCTATGATGACTATGAAAATGCCCCTGGAGAATGAAAGGCCCATACATCATTTCATTTACCCACATAAATAACAAATGTGGTGCTCAATTTGACATATGGGGAGACATATGATCAACCTTTTAAAAATAAGATAGAAAATGTTAGGAAAAATGTTTAAAGTCCTTATATGTTTAATTATTACTTCATTTAAAAGCCTTTGATAAGTACACAAAGTCTATCATGTAAAAATTTTGCTAGTAATTATAATTATGAAGCTTTTCTATAATGCTGTGGAAATTCTTTTCTTCAACAAATTGTGAAAAAGTAGTCGTGGGTCAGATCACACCTGCCTGATTCATGTAACTGAAATTAGTTAGCTAACAACAGAAGACAGGTATAAAAATCTGGGACAATGTTTTTTGAGTATTTCATGGCTGAAACATCATGGAGACACAAGCACACGCTAGCAGTGGGGTAGTCTAAAGCCTCACCCACTGTCAGATAAATTTCACTGGAAAACAGTTCAGATGTTATTAAAGTACAGGATCATTGTATACTCCTGATTAGGAAAAAAATCATTAAAAATTATTTATCCATTTTTAACTGCTACTAAGACAAATTTTGAACTTTTCCCAGATTGGTAGTCAAGGCCTCCGATAACTCAGTGCATCCTTTCCCCAATTTCTCACAACCCTGCAGGTGGCCCACACTGGACAGAGAGGTATGTCCTACGCCAGGCTTCAACCTACCACGTGCTTCATTACTCTTTTCATCTTTAATGTCTCCCTATAACATCCACTTTCTCTCCTGAAATCCTACACACACTTTATGGCTCAGTTTCAGTGAAATTTTAGCTACTTTCTGAAGTTCTCCCTGAGGCCCACTTACTGCATCTCTCTCCCATTTGTAAGACTACACAGCACTTCCTTTATACCTTTTGGCAATGACCACACTGATGTTCTGTCATGTTGCAAGCTCTTTAGTCTTATCTCTGCAGTCCCTTACAGGGCTAGTATGTGCTAAATAAATACTGATTTTTGAAAAATACTCAAGATTCAGATTCTTACTTGTATTTACTTTATATTTGAAACTGAGAGTCATTTTTCAGGAAAAAGTATTTTAAGAAATGATCTTTACCAGTGTGCCAGCAGGCAAAGGGGCAGAATCATCTGTAGGATACATTCTGGAGACTGGGCACTTGAGGATGTCTAGACCATTTGGAACCATTTTACAGTAATCCTGAATACACTGTAGCCACCACCACACAGCATCACGGCAATTGTATCTGGCATAAGTTCCTTCACCCAGGAGATTAGGAATGAGACCATGCCTCAGGGTACCAGCAAATGCTAAAATAATATTCCTAAAACAGAATTAAGTGGATCATTTGAAATGAAAACAAACACTTACAAAATCAAAGACAAAAAAACAGTCACTTTGGGTGACTATATTTTGGATATATTTTCTCATTTCTTTATATTTTTATATGGAATAAGTTAAAGGTCTGAAGCCTTAATTTTAGCCCTGGATTTTCTCTAACAATCTGACTTAACCTCTCTGGTTTAGCTTTTTCATACATGGCATTAAAGATCAGATGGGTGATTTTTAAGTTGTTCATAGCTCTAGATTCTACTTGAAATCTGCGGTATTTTGAAATCTAAATAACTATCAAACATGAACTTTATTATTTCAAATAAAAAAAAAGAAAAGAAAGATGTAGAAGCCAACCTTGGAAAGCATAATCACATTTAAAATTTGGTAGAAAACATGTTATCTTTCAAACTGCTATCCTACCATCACAATGTCAAGCAACAAATTCATTTCTATGATGGTATGGCATTCTAGAAAGCGACTGAAATAAGAAAGCTGAGGTCTTTAGCGGGAAATTCATTTAAAATGTTTAAGCTTTAGCATTTTTTGGCTAAAATCACTCAGAAATTTTGTTAATTCTATATCTCAGTTTAATACCTATCTCTTAAAGGGCAATAGGAATGTTTTTATTTTCTGAAGTACAGCAAAAGTGTTAGTATGGACAGTGACACTTCCAATTTATAAAGGATAAGCATGCTATCAATCTTTTAAGCATCAAGAGCAATGTTCTACACTGAAAGTTGAGTAAAAAGACCTCTGATCCATGAATATATATGTAGAAGGAGGAAGCAGAGCCACTTGTGAGAGATAAAGAGCCTTGTTTTACCAAGTGGGTTTGCTACATTTCCTAACCCAGTTAGTTGTGGCCAGATGACTGCATTCCAGGCAAGAAACTGAATGGAACTGATGTGTGTCTTCCTACCACATGTGTAATCAGTATTTTCCCAAGGTTCTCTCTTCCTCCTTGTTGGCTGACAACAGGGGTCAGGTTTTGGAAGATGGCAAATCATCAAGATGGAAGGAAACTGTGCCCCTGAATCACTATGTGGAAAGCTGCCTACTGAACATAAAAGTAAGACGATAAACAAGAAATAAATTTTGTTTGTGAAAAATCATTGAAATTTAAGAATCTATAATTTATAGCTGCTAGCACTACCATAAAAATACATTATCTTCTGGGAATCATGTAGATCAGGGGTGGTCAAATGTTTTCTGTAAAGAGTAAATATTTAAGGCTTTCTGTGCCATATATGGTCTCTCTCACACTTTTTTTTTTTTAATGACTATAAAAGGTAAAAGCTATTTGCTCAGAGGTCTACAAAACAGCTGACAAGCCACAGTTTCAGACCCATCATCTGTGTAGTCATTTTAAAGCTGAGAAGCAGAAACTTGTGGAAGTGCATACAATCAACAATTAATTAGGTGTTCAGCCAACAATAATTATGATTAAATGAGTAACATTTATGGAATGGTTAGCATGTGGCAGAAACTCTTCTAGACATGTGAACTGTGTTACGTACTAACTCATTAAAGCCTCATTAAAGTCCATAAAGCAAATACTTTAATAATTTTACAGAGAGCACAAAGAGAGGAAATACTTGTCATTTGGTGTTTTGGAACCAGGATTAGAAGCTGGCAGTCTATCCCAAAGTCCAAGTTCTTAGCTACCATACTATGCTGAATCTTGGTGTTCTATTTCCTACTTCTGCATCAATCATTTAGGGACATTTAGGAAACAAGCAAATAGTCTCCCAAATTTCTATAGCGCCATAATAGTAACTTAGGTCAATAACAAAATTTATTTTATATATTAGGATATCAGGAAAGAGTGCAATTCATTTCAGAATTACCTAGAAATCTGAATTTTAAAATGACCAAAATGAAAGCTTTTTGCATGTGAAGAAACAAATTTCAGTTATTTTCCTGATGACATCAAAACAAATGCTATTTGGCTTAACATAAAATGTTCTAGAGCAGTGCTTTCAAACTTTAGACTCAGACTGCAGATAATTACACAGCTTCCTGCCTGTCATCCTCATGTTCCCCATCCCCAGATTTGGATTCAGGAGGTTTGGTATAGGGATCAAGAACCTGCAGTTCCAACAAGCTTTCAAATGATGGTACAATGCTGATTTGTGGAACACACTCTGAGTGGTATTCCCACAGAGCTTGCTTTTCAACCTCCTACAGATCCATTCATCTTATTCTGATGTACAAAAATATCACTTGAAGATACACAAACTGGAGGTTACAAGGCTTGACAATAAATACACGAACTCTTGGTATTTTCTACAAGATTCAAAGAGCCAGTAATGCATTCATTATAGAAGGCATAAATGATTATAATTTTTTATTGAAATAAATTTGCAAATGCTGAAAATAACCTGATCTGGAATATGAAGGACTATAACTTAGTAACTTCAAAGATTTTCACCTTCTTTGAACTTCTATGATCCTATTAAATGAATATATACATTTAAAAAAAACCTCTATGGAAAACTCACCTCCCAAATGTTGAGAATAGATGGCTATTAAGGAAAGATTGAAGAGTATGGAAAACACATTCAGACACAGATTTACATTAGCACTATGTAAGAGAATCTCATACCTGGCTTCTAAGTAGCGTCCAGTAATCAGCAGCAAACCTCTAAGTGCAATAAAAGTGTCTCTTCCCCAACAGCGAAAAATACCAGAAGAAAAATGAGGTAAGCCTAACAGAAAAATATAACAGAGTAATATGTTAGTCATAATAATACAAACAAACCCAGGAACTCCATTACTACAGAGGTTACTCAAAACCTAGGTTATAAGGATAAGCACAGAAGTCAGAAAATCCTCTAAAATTATTTGCAAAATATATGTGTATACTTAGTTGACTTTTGTAAAATGAGCTTCCACAGCCTTATCAGATTCTTAAAGGAATGTATGACCCAAAAGAGATTAAGAGGGGTCAACACTCGCATAGTGGGAAAAGCTGCCGTTTGCAGTATCAACATCCCATATGGGCGCCGGTTTGAGTCCTGGCTGGTCCACTTCATATCCAGCTCTCTGCTATGGCTGGGGAAAGCAGTACAAGATGGCACCCACTCGGGAAACCTTGAAGAAGCTCTTGCCTCCTGGCTCTGAATCTGTGCAACTCCAGCCATTGCGGCCATTTGGGGAGTGAAAACACTGGATGGAAGACCTCTCTCTCTCTCTGCCTCTCTGTAACTCTGCCTTTCAAATAAATAAATAAATCTTAAAATAAAATAAAATAATAAATCTTAAAAAAAAGACACAGCCATAATGTTTTTAAAAAAACAGATTAAGAACCAGTTCTAGCTAGTGAGGGATACTTATCTGAATCAATTCAATGTGTATATTTAAACACAGATAAACATTCTTCCAATAAATTTAACTTAAATATTAAAAGCAGAGATCAAATTAACACATAAACATTTAATATAACAGTAATTATGCATTTTTAAAAATTCTACTCTTGGGGCCAGCGCTGTGTCGCAGTGGTTTAAAGCCCTGGCCTGAAGTACCGGCATCCCATATGGGCGCCAGTTTGAAACCCAGTTGCTCCACTTCCAATCCAGCTCTCTGCTGTGGCCTGGGAAAGCAGTAGAAGATGGCCCAAGTCCTTGGGCCCCTGAACCCCTGAGACCGGGAAGAAGCTCCTGGCTCCTGGCTGCAGATCGGCACAGATCCGGCTAATTAGGGAGTGAACCATTGGATAGAAGACCTCTCTCTCTCTCTGCCTCTCCTCTCTCTGTGCAACTCTGATTTTCAAATAAATAAATAGATCTCTTAAAAAAATTCTACTCTGAATAAGGATAATAAATCTAAATATGAAATGATTAGTTTAATTGTAATTCTTATTTATTTGAAATGCAGAAAGTGGGGACAGAGAAAGAGAGAGAGCCCTCAACCACTGTTCACTTCCAAAATGCCTGCAATAGTTATGGCCGGGCCAGACCAAAACCAGGAGCCTAGAATCTGGTCTTCCACATGAGTGTCAGGGACCCAGGCATTCAGACCTATCCCCTGCCCCCTCCCACAGTGCACATTAGCAGGAAGCAGGAAATCAGAAGCAGAATTCGGATTTGAATCAGGCATTCCAGTATAGGTGTAGATCTCACAAGCAATGTTTTGCTTTTTTTTTTTTTTTTTAAAGATTTATTTATTAATTTGAAAGGAAGAGTTATAGAGAGGGAGAGGGAGAGGCAGAGGCAGGGAGAGAGAAGTCTTACATCCACTAGTCTACTCCCCAAAAGCCCAGGGATGGGCTAGACTGAAGCAAGGAGCCAGGAGCTTCATCTGGGTCTCTCACGTGGGTCATCTTCCACTGCCCACACAGGCCATAGCAGAGAGCTGGACTGGAAGTGGAACAGCCAGGACTTGAACCAGCACCCAGATGGGATGCCAGTGCTGCAAGCAGCAGCTTAATCCACTATGCCACAGTGCCAGTCCTATTTTTAAAGACTGATTTTATTTATTTGAAAGGTACAGTAACACAGAGAGATGGACACAAAGAGAGAGATCTTCCAGGAGCCACAAACTCCACGAGTTTCCCACATGGGTGGTAGGGGCCCAAGTACTTGGTCCATCTTTTGCTGTTTCCTCACTTGCATTAGCAGAGAGCTAGAATGGAAATGGATCAGTCAGAATCCGAACCAGTATGGGATGCTGGCAAAACAGTGGCTTAACCTGCTGCTTTGCGATGCTGGCTCCCATGTGGTATCTAACTGCTCCAGATAGCTACCTGTGGACTGTCTGTTAAGATGTTGGTTAAGGCCGGCGCAAGGCGGAGGATTAGCCTAGTGAGCCGCGGCACCGGCCCTCAGTTTTCTTATACCTTTCTGATCTTTATAGAAAGATAGGATTTCTAAGTCTTTGTACCTTTTTAAAAATCTCTAGAATGAGTGTTATACTATTTTTTTAAAGATTTTATTTATTTATTTGAGAGGTAGAATTACAGACAGTGAGAGGCAAAGACAGAGGGAAATGCCATCGGATCAGCGCGGTGCGCCGGCCGCAGCGCGCCGGCCGCGGCGGCCATTGGAGGGTGAACCAACGGCAAAGGAAGACCTTTCTCTCTGTCTCTCTCTCTCACTGTCCACTCTGCCTGTCAAAAAAAAAAAAAAAAAAAAATAAGATGTTGGTTAAGACACTCATATCCCACACTGGAGTGGCTGGGTTCAGTTCCCAGTCTTGACTCCCGACTCCAGCTTCCTGCCAATTCACAACTTGGGAGCCAGTGGTGAATGGCTCAAATGATTGAAAATCGATTGCATAGGTTTTTTTCATGATGTACATGTTCCATGAACTTTTTGAAGTCTCATATCCTCTTAAATAGCAGCAGTACATAATAAAAAAGTATGAGCTCAATATTTTATGTATGGGCTTCTGAAAAGTAGAGTTTAAAACCAAATTTTTCACATTCATGTTTCTTCTACTATGGCCCAATTCAGTTTCATGAGCATTTGTCTTTGGCCTGCCCTAGCTCCAGTTTTTTGGAGAGTTAACCAATAAGTGGCAGCTCTCTGTTTGGTGGTCTGCTTTTCAAATAAATAAAATAAATATATTAAAATTAGCCCCCTCCTTATATAAATGCTTGGTGTACAGTTATAATGAAATACTAAGTATAGTTATTTTTTATGAGTATGAAATTTTACCAAGCAGCATAAACTCTTGGATAAAATCATGGGTTTTTTTTTTTTTAAATAATCATTTGCCCTTAGCTTTTCCTCTTTGAATACTACTTATACATTTTGATCTTACACATAATTTCTTACCTGCAGCCAGAGAAACACAACATTGCTCCTTTTCTTTTGTGATCTCATTTAGCCTATATGGGACATCCGTAAGTGAAGGTGAAAGAAGTGGCAGAGAAGGGAATTTTCCTACTCCACACATTTGGACTGAACCCAGAGAGAGGTGTTTGACAAAGGTTGAACCAGTCTGAACAAAACTGTAACAGAAGTAATGGGCATTTAATATTATTTGTGGAAATACAAAACTTTTTATAGTTTTTATCTTACTTGATTTCTTTATTTAAACAATATCTCCACACAAATATGTAACAATGGTAATATCAGGTGAAAAAATTTTAATTTGGTTAGATTTCAAAACCACTTTCACTTTACTCATGATTTTAGCTGGCTTTAGTTCCATGGCTGTTGTGAAACAAATAGTAGGGATGAAGTTATATTCTTCTTGAAATTATGCCAATCTGGTGGTTCTCACTGGTACATTTCAATATGTGGTTTCATTTTGGAAATTTCATCATTAATGGCAAATTTCACTCATAATAACAGAACATTTTTTCTCTTACTAAAAAACTATAAAAAGAACTGCATATGCATATTCTAGAAATGTATGAATTGTAGTTAATAAATAAATGAAGTGCAGCCAATGAATACATAGAAGCAAATAATATAAAACATTTTTCCCAGTAATATATTTTATTAGCTTTATAGAACAGATTTTAGTATCTTTAAGTTTGTTTTTAAATTTTCCAGATGAAAGAATGTTAATAAATTTACTATCAACTACAGAGTTTTTCAGCTTTATGGATCTGTGGTAATTCCTCATACTTTTAAGAGCATGCATAAAGTGACTTTCTATATATTTCTACACAAGCAAACCTATGTACTCAAGCTTTATTGGGTATACCTTGACATTTGCTTCCATGCTATATCCAGAAGAGTGGTGTATGCACCAATTAATATAGCATCAAAGTAACATGGTATAAGATAACGTGGGATCTGCTTCAGGTAGAAGAACATAGCCTGCAACCATTTACCAACCTGTTACAAAGATAATTTTAAAAGTTAATGTGGTATGTTTACAGGCTAGGTAGGTGTGTGTGTGTGTGTATATATATATATATATTTTTTTTTTTTTTTGACAGGCAGAGTTAGACAGTTGAGAGAGAGAGACAGAGAGAAAGGTCTTCCTTCCTTTGGTTCACCCCCCAAATGACTGCTATGGCTGGCACACTGTGCCAATCCAAAGCCAGGAGCCAGGCACTTCTTCCTGGTTTCCCATGTGGGTGCAGGGCCCAAGCACTTGGGCCATCCTCCACTGCCTTCCTGGGCCACAGCAGAGAGCTGCACTGGGGGAGGAGCAACCAGGACAGAACTGGTGCCCCAACCGGGACTAGAACCCGGAGTGCCGGCGCCGCAGGAGGAGGATTAGCCTAGTGAGCCATGGTGCTGGCCTAGGTAGGCATATTTTAAGAGCCAAATCTAAACATGCAACTTTACCATCTAGTAATTTATAAACCAGATTTTCCTTTATTAGAACTGAAAGATGATGAAGAGGGCAAAGTGGTTCATGTTAGAAAACAAGGTCAATATGGAAATATAATTCTTGTAGGGCTCTTGATTTTTTTTATTTGGAGTAGAATATAGCTCTACTTACTTCAGCAATAGTTCCTGATCGTGAAATAAGCCGGCCACTGACATAGTCAATCATCCAATCTCCAGACCGCAAATTATCACAGAAAGGGTGTCCCAAGTCATTCTTTGGTCGTATTTCTGCCAATACGGACATTAACCCTGAAATTTGGAGAAACATATTGTTGTGTTATTGGCAGAGTCAGTATGTTCCCACATTCTAGGCTGCTGCTAATCACTAAATGATTTGAGCATATACAAGGCAGATAAAAGAGCTGTGTCTTCCACAATGGCACTTTTGATGGCTGAAGAGAAGTGTGGCAGTACTGGTTTGAACCATATTGAAGGGGAGTACTGTCATATGAGTTATGCATACCTTTCCAAGATTCATAACTTCTGGGACCTGTCTTATTTTTTTGGATTTTAAGACAACTGGCATGGCTTTGCTGTTCTAAGGCATACAGGGAAAGAAAACTGATAAGCCTATATCTTTTCATGGGGAAAAGTGGTGGAATCATTAACATTCAGGCAATATTTAAAGAAATCAGAGAAGTGGTTCCAAACAGAATAAGAACATCTATGGTGATGATAAGAATAAAGGCTGTTTTGGAAGGAATCTTTTATAAATGATGAGCAGTACTTGGAAATAACCAAAGTATCAAAGTGGTAGCAGATTCTAATATTTTAGAATAACAGTAGTAATTTTATCACATAATAAGATAGTCACTTCCACTGTTAAAAAATCATATTGTGGGGCTGGTGCTGTGGCACAGTGGGTAAAGCCGCTGCCTATAGTGCCAGCATCCCATATGGGCACCAGTTCAAGTCCTGGCTACTCTACTTCCTATCCAGCTCCCTGCTAATGTGCCTGGGAAAGCAGTGGAAGATGGCCCAAGTCCTTGGGCCCCTGGACCCATGTGGGAGACCCAAAAGAAGTTCCAAGCTCCAGCCATTGCAGCCATTTTGGGAGTGAACCAGCAGATGGAAGATCTCTCCTTCTCTCTCTCTCTGTCTCTGACTCTCTGTAACTGCCTTTCAAATAAAAAATAAATCTTAAAAAAAAAAAAAAAAGAGGTGACTACCTAAATGCATTTAAAAAATAAATAACAATAAAAACCCATATTGCTTTCACTTACTTCATTTCTACTAAACTTATTTAGCTAGAATTTAATGAATTTTGCTGTGTATGTGGCATGTTATGAAAAATTAAAAATACATAAATTTAAGATATATTTTTTCCTTTAAGGGGCTAAGAGAATAAAGCTTAAAACACACAAAAATATATTTTAAAATAAAATAAAGCTTATTCTAGAAATAAAGCTTAAAGCACAAAAATGTTAGAAAAGAAGACATTGTAAAATAATGTTCGAGGCCTGGCACTGTGGCATAGCTGGTAAAGCTGCCACCTGCAGTGCCAGAATCCCATATGGGTGCTGATTCAAGCCCTGGCTGCTCCACTTCCAATCCAGCTCTCTGCTATAGCCTGGGAAAGCAGTAGAAGATAGACCAAGTCTCTGTGCCCCTGCACTCGCATGGGAGACCCAGAGGAAGCTCCTGGCTCCTGCCTTTGCACCAGCATAGCTTCAGATCAGCATAGCTCTGGCTGCTCCAGCTAACTGGGGATTGAACTAGCAGATGGAAGATCTCTCTCTGCTTCTCCTTCTCTCTCTGTGTAACTCTGACTTTCAAATACATCCTTAAAAATAATAATAATGTTCTACATATGTCAGAATTCTCAGGGAAGGCAAAATACTGCTCAGTAAATGTTACCACTTTTGAAAAATGGAGTGACATGATGGAAACAGTGTTTTAGAGAACAGATCTAACATTGACTAATCCAATGTTTTGTGAGGTAAGAAGAGACTAGGAAAGTGGAAAAGGCATTTTGCCTAGCAGTTATTATACTGGTGAAGGTTCTGGTTAACAACAACAACAACAAAACAAACAAACAAACAAGGAAAAGAAATTTTTTGAAAAGGTAAAAAAAAATAGATGTTGGTTGTTACCCACATCCCACACTGGAGTATCTGGGTTTAATACCCGGCTCTAGCTCAAGTAGACCCTAAGAGGCAGCAGTGATGACTCAACTGAATGAGTTCCTGACACCCAAAAGGGAGCCCTGGATTGAGTCCCCAGTTCCCAGCTTTGACCCTGGCCGGACCCTAGCTATTGTGGGCATTTGAGGGAGTGAACCACTATATGAGAACTTTCTCTCTTTCTCTCTGTCTCTCTCCTTTCAAACAAATAAATAGGTTTATAGAAAAAAAAAAAGAAAAAACAAAACAAAACAAAAATCCTCAAGATATTATTAGCAAACTGGTTAGCTGACTTGCAGACAGGACATAAGTCCTACAATAGAGTGATAACTATGCGAATAAAAAGGATATGATATACCAAGAAGAAAATGGATAAGAATCCACAAGTTATAATTACTGGTGGAATGCTGAAGATGAAAGGGGCAAATCCAAAAATGGACTCCTGGATTTCAACATAACCGAATGCATACTATTTTAAGAACTAGGGAAACAGGGAAGGGAATTTTGTTTAGATGAGAGAAAGGTCAATAAAGTTATTAAGTTTGATTAATCTGAGGCTGCTAGTAACAGCCTACTGGAAATACCCCAGTGGCTGCTGAAAATATTAAACTGTCAAAGGGAAAGGGATTGGCATGAAGTAAGAAATAATGAATCAGGCAGAATGATTATATTCAGAAAGAAGGAGCAGAATCGTTTCATGAGAACGCTGAAGTGAAACACAATGGCCAGAAAAGCAATCAGAAAACAGCAAATCCACATTCTTCTTTCTCTGGGTACAATTTACTTAATGGAGTTTTAGAGCTAACAATCTCTTAATAATGAACAGCATGCTGCATAAATGCTTTCCACATACCACTCAATTAATACTAATTGTAATCCCTTGGTCACATATTATTATTATTATTGTTATCTCCATTTTACAGACAAGAGAACAGTCATGGAGAGTTAACTCCAAAGTTGCACAGCTAGTTAGTGTAAGCTAAGGAGTCTGGTTTTAAGCCTGTTTCTTAACCTTGATGATAAAAATTCATTAAAATAATTATACTGATTACAAAAATAAAACAATATAATCTAAGGCCATGTTAGAGGTATAATAAATACGTGCAAAGGTTATCTAGAGGACAAAGAAATTACTGTATAAAACAATAGTTAAGAAAGGCTCAGGGTTGACTGTGGTGCAGCAGGTTAGGCAGCTGCCTGTGATGCTGGCATCGCATATGAATACTGGTTCAATCTCAGCTGTGCTACTTCTCATCCAGCTCCCTGCTAATGTGCTTGAAAGGACAGCAGAACATGGCCCAACTGCTTGGGCTCCTGCTACCCACTTGGGAGACAAAAATGGAGTTCCAGGCTCCTGGCTTTGGTCTGGCCCAGCCCCAGCCATTGTGACCATTTGGGAAGTGAACCAGTGTTTGAAATCTCTCTCTCTCTGCCTTTCAAAAAATTAAATAAGTATATCTTTAAAAGGGGGGAGCAGCACTGTGACATAGTAGGTAAGGCTGCCACTCATGGTGCCGGCATCCCATATGGGTGCTGATTTGGGTCCTGGCTGTTCCACTTGCAATCCAGATCCCTGCTGGTGTGCCTGGGAAGGCAGCAGAGGATGGCCCAAATCCTCGGGCCCCTGCACCCACATGGGAGACCTAGAGAAAGCTGCAGGCTCCTGGCTTTAGATCCACCCAGCTCTGGCTGTTGTGGCCATTTGTGGAGGAGTGAACCAGCAGATGGAGGACCTCTCTCTCTTTTTTCTCTCTGCCTCTCTGTAGCTTTGCCTTTCAAATAAATAAACAAATCTAAAAAAAGATTTAAGATGTAAGAGTTAAATTGGTCTTGGAAGAAGAGTTAGATGGACAGAGAAAAAAGAAGTTGAAATGGTAGCATGATAAATAGGAAACTATGATTTATGATCAAGGTGTGACAAAGCAAGCTTCTTAAAGAAAAATCTAAGAAAATATTAACAACAAGATGGATTACATTGAAAATTAACCATTTGGTTCTTTTTTTTTTTTTTTTTTTTTTTTTGACAGGCAGAGTGGACAGTGAGAGAGAGAGACAGAGAGAAAGGTCTTCCTTTTGCCGTTGGTTCACCCTCCAATGGCCACCATGGCCGGCGCACTGTGACTGGCGCACCGCGCTGATCCGAAGGCAGGAGCCAGGTGCTTCTCCTGGTCTCCCTTGGGATGCAGGGCCCAAGCACTTGGGCCATCCTCCACTGCACTCCCGGGCCACAGCAGAGAGCTGGACTGGAAGAGGGGCAACCGGGACAGAATCCGGTGCCCCAATCAGGACTAGAACCCGGTGTGCTGGTGCCACAGGCGGAAGAATAGCCTATTGAGCCACGGTGCTGGCCGCCATTTGGTTTTTATAATTCTTTCAAATACTCACTACCTAATATTTTACTATAAGTTCTCTTTATAGGATAAAAAATGCCAAAAAGGTTAAAATTAGATAAAAAAAAGGAATAATAATATATTATATTTACAACCTAGTCTTACTTGGGGCTCAGGCAAACATACCCTGTCAAGAAACAAGTCAAGAAACATTAAGAGCTATGACGTTAAGGAATAACACTGAACTGGTAATTCTAGGCAATATTTATTGAGTTATTTCTTTTTGCTACATCTTGCTTTTACTGTTTTACATGAATGATCTCACTTAATACTCACAGTAGCTTTCTGAATTAGACAATACTCTCCACATTTTATAGAGGCAGAAAATGGGAGATAGAAGTTAACCTTACTTGACAAAGGCTGGTCAGCAAGTACAAAGTTAGAGCCATTATATGAACCCAGGCTGTCACACTCTGAGTCCAGACTCTTGTTTCTATAAAAAAGACATTGTATCAACCTAAAAGAAAAACAAAAGCAGAACCATCCTTATGCCTGCTTACCTTGCAGACCTGCATATTTAAGGGAAGACCAGTTTGGTATGTCATAGCATCCTCCACCATCTTCTTGTTCTTCTGATTCACACCGGTAAAGTATCTGATTTATCTCAGCTAAAGTTAATTTGGAGGCAATACTGAGAATTGGAACATAAAGACAACCAGTTAAATACACTGAAATTCCACTTGCTGTCAATAGAAAAGAAAGGAGAAAAATCTGAATTATAAATGCTATATAATTATATTTTAAGAAATCAGCATTAAAATAAATACCCAAAACACATGTATAAGTAATTAGGTAAAAGGCAAACTATGGCTAAAATTCAATCAGAAGGGGTTGGCACTGTGGTGCAGCGGGTTAAGTGGCTGCCTGCCCCAGCATCCCATGGCTGCTCTACTTCCTATCTAGCTCCCTGCTAGTGTGCCTAGGAAAGCAGCAGAGGATGCCCCAAGTGCTTGGGCCACTACACCCATGTGCAGACCTGGATGAAGCTCCTGGCTCCTGGCTTCGGCCTGGTTTAGCCCTAGCTGTTGCAGTCATCTGGGGAGTAAATCAGTAGATGGAAAGTCTCTCTGTCTTTTCCTTTCTCTCTCTGTAACGTTGCCTTTCAAAATAAATAAAATAAATCTTTAAAAAATTCAGTCAGAAATAACAACTAAGGAAATAATGAAGTGCAAAATTTTTAATGAATAGAAATACAGGAAAGGTTTTCTTGGTTGCTATCTTTTTATCTTATACATTTTTTTATTCTTTCCAGTTCAGATTGAGCTTATATTCCTTTATATTCTCCTAAGTAAGACATCAGGATCATTTTATACTTGTTATGTTAAACTGAAAATACTTACCAAAGAATTAGTACAAGATTAACCAGAAGTCAAAGTTAGCCACCTAAGAAAGCATGTAATCTCTATCTTTGGTTTCTTGCCTTGTTCCTTCCTGCTTTTTCTAGGGTCACACTGCCCCTAAGGTTGGCTATTGGTTGGTCAGAGGGAAGTGTAACTATTATAGCCTTAACTTCTCTTTGTGCAGTTTAGTAGTGAGATTATACAGCTGACCACACCTTAATAAAATCAAAATTGTATCCTGTGCTTCTAGCTGCTTAGGAAATTTCATTTTACGTAACTGCTATTTATGTGAACCTGTGTCCTCATGAATAAGTGTCTTTCTTTCTGTTTTAATAGTCTCAAATTAAAAAAATTCTTTGTGCTCTCTGTCTCAGCCTCTTTCCTCATAGCTACACTTTGTGAGTTGAGTCTGAGTTAAACATTAGTAAACTAGCAACATCAGTAGCCACTCAATCCTAGGGCAAATTTTTTCAACATGTAATAAGTAGATTCATTGTATAAAAATTAATGGGAAACTTACTAAATCAGAATTCTTGCCCTTGGGGCTGGAGCCACGGTGGAGTAGGTTAAGACTCCACCTGCAGCACTGGCATCCCCTGTGGGCACTGGTTGGTTCTACTTCTGATTCAGTTCCCTGCTAATGGCCTGGGAAAGCAGTGGAAGATGGCTCAAGTGCTTGGACCCCTGAACCCACGTGGGGCACCCAAAAGAAGTTCCTGGCTCCTGGCTTCGGATCAGCTCAGTTCCAGCCCTTGCAGCCAATTGGTGAGTGAACGAACCAGTGGATAAAGACCTTTCTCTCTCTCTCCCTCTGTCTGTGACTCTGTCTCTTAAATCAACAAACTAATAATTTGAGTAGTTATGAGGAGGAATGTACATTTTTATAAGCGTTCTAAAGAAACATAAAGCTGGCCGGCGCCGTGGCTCACTAGGCTAATCCTCCACCTAGCGGTGCCGGCACACCGGGTTCTAGTCCCAGTCGGGGCGCCGGATTCTGTCCCAGTTGCCCCTCTTCCAGGCCAGCTCTCTGCTGTGGCCAGGGAGTGCAGTGGAGGATGGCCCAAGTGCTTGGGCCCTGCACCCACATGGGAGACCAGGAGAAGCACCTGGCTCCTGCCATCGGATCAGCGCGGTGCGCCGGCCGCAGCGCGCTGGCCGTGGCGGCCATTGGAGGGTGAACCAACGGCAAAAGAAGACCTTTCTCTCTGTCTTTCTCTCTCACTGTCCACTCTGCCTGCCAAAAAAAAAAAAAAAAAAAAAAAAAAAAGAAACATAAAGCTGCTTCATCACAGACTGCTTTTAGAATGCAACTACTTTATTGGCCGGCACCATGGCTCACTAGACTAATCCTCCACCTGCGGCGCTGGCACACCGGGTTCTAGTCCCAGTCGGGGTGCCGGATTCTGTTCTGGTTGCTCCTCTTCCAGTTCAGCTCTTTGCTGTGGCCAGGGAAGGCAGTGGAGGATGGCTCAAGTCCTTGGGCCCTGCACCCACATGGGAGACCAGGAGAAGCACCTGGCTCCTGGCTTCGAATCAACGCGGTGCACTGGCCGCAAGTCATTAGGGGGTGAACCAACTGAAAAGGAAGACCTTCCTCTCTGTCTCTCTCTCTCACTGTCCACTCTGCTTGTCAAAAAAAAAAAAAAAAAAAAAAAAAAAAAAAAAAAAGAATGCAACTACTTTATTAAGTGAAGTTTGAAGTTTGAATTACGAGCTAATATCTTCAGTGAAAAATGGCTCTTACAGAACAAAAAACACTGAACACAACAAAAAAATGGGCTTATACTGAAAATGACATTTCCCTGAATAAATTAAAATGGACCATGAACAAAATATTTTAGCTTAACTAATGTGCAAAGTAAATTAAAATGAGATGTTATTTTTAAGTATCTTATATTTATCAATTTGACTAGTATTGGCTAACATTTATCGATCACTAAGTGTTTTACAAAAATAATCCTTACAAATCTATGATAGGCACTATATGCCCAAGGTCTTACTTCTTATAGCTAGAGTCTGAAATAGAGCTCAAATCTGAGTAGTCTGATTCCATACTCTTCACTACTGCATTACAATCATGTATACTCAGTCTTGCTAAGGATGGTCACTTTTACATAGAGCTGAAAGTTTTAATTATATATAATCTTTCTGGAGAGAATTTGGCAATATGCATGAAAAGCCTCAGATGTATGAATATAGTATAAACCAAAAATTCCATTTCTAGAAATTTATCCTAATATTAACAATAGTAAACATTTATTAAACACTGACTATGTACCAGGCATTGTGTTAAGTGTTTTGCATGATATTTTTATTTGATCAACATCCAAGATATAGGTAGTGCTACTTTCCAGATGGGAAACCAATGAAGAAAGTTTTAAGTAACTTGTCCAAGATCATATTGACGTTGGAGAAGCTGACATTAAATCCAAGTTGAAACTGCAAAACCCATATTCTTTGGTATTATTAGGTACCACTTAGTAAGGGAATAAAGATTTATGAAATATAACTACACAGGGACCAGCGCTGTGGCGCAGTGGGTTAAAGCCCTGGCCTGAAGTGCTGGCATCCCATATGGCCGCCAGTTTGAGTCCCAGCTGCTCCTCTTCTGATCCAGCTCTCTGCTATAGCCTGGGATAGCAGTAAAAGATGGCCCAAGTCCTTGGGCCCTGGCACCCATGTGGGAGACCCAGAAGAAGCTCCTGGCTCCTGGCTTTGGATAAGCACAGCTCCGGCCACTGCAGCCAGTTGGGGAGTAAACCAGCGGATGGACGATCTCTCTCTCTGTCTCTATCTCTCTCTCTAACTCTCTCTTTCAAATAAAAAAAAAAATCTTAAAAAAAAAAAAAAAAACCACATAACTACAAAAAGACATACTTAATAGGGAATAATTTAAGGCAATCTAGATGCCTAAAAAATGGAGACCAATTAAATAAATTACGGTATGGTCATGTAATAGGATATGTTAATATTTATTGGAAAAATGGGGTAATGGAGATGATAATGCAATTTTGTCTCAAATTCTTCAACAAATTGTGTGTGTGTGTGTGCCCGTGTATATGTTTATATGGAGGGCTGTCCATAAGCATGTAGGCATGTAGTTAAAGATAATGGCACAGATTAAAATGTTAATAACAGATGATGCTGCCACTGTAGGTACTTTGAATAGCAAGGATATAGGAGAACTTTAAAACTGCTTTTATCAGGCTAGTGGTAACTTATCAGTTATTCAAGCTGCAATCTCTAAAAAAATAAAACATACTTACGAAGCAAAAGGAATTTTTAATATTGGATCTGAGTTGTCAACAGCAAGGCTTCCTGCTTTAAAGTGAGCACTGAACTGTGTCAGATGATTTCGAAGAATTCCAACAGCAACTTGTGCATGTGGATCAAGACTAACTCTGAAAACATTAATAAAAAAATGGTTATATTTTAAGAGTAATTTACTTGGAGTTACCAGGATATGTAAGCCATTTTAAATATAAGTCAGCAGTTTGAACTCTAATTAACATACCTGAATATAATAACACTTCCTGGAGACAAGTTTTCAAATTCTATTTCTTGAATATATTCATTGGGACCTTTTGTAGTAACTCCAGCTTGTTTAACAATTCTACTTTCATTAAGCTTGAAAAAAATTACACAAAATATTCATTTAACAAATATTTCTAATGTACTTAAAATGCTAAACATATATGAGTCTCAAATACCTGAATATGTTCTCTAATTTCTACTGTGATATTTGGCATTCCATTTATCGAATTCTCATCCTTCCTGTAAGGACTTATATTTCTCTCAATAGTTCGAGCTTCAAGAACTACTTCTTCAATTTTACCTAAGAGTATGTGAAAATTTTAAGAAAATTTTATATTGAACCATCTGCAATTAGAAATTGCTAATGTGTTTTCAAATTATTTAACTTAAGAAGTTTAAAATGAAATACTGGTTAATTAAAAAATAAAATACAAAACATTTGAAAGCAGTTAACTCTACCCAATGTATTTTTCACACATGCTTCTAAAAAAAATTACAACTTAATTAACAAAGCTTTATTTGAAAAGGCATCTTATCAAATAATAATATCTTCCCTAATTTTGAGCCGAGAGAAGTACATTACTTGAAAGAGTTACATGTTAAATATTTACTTATTTGAGAGGCAGAGACAGAGAGCTTCTGACTGCTAGTTTACTCCCCAAAATCTGCCAACAGCTGGGTATCCAGGTCTCCTACATGAGTGGAGGTACCCAATTATTTGGTTGATTACTGCTGCCTCCCAGGCATTGGCAGAAAACTGGAGTCAGGAACCAGGGTCAAATGAACCCTGACACTCCAATGTGGAACATCGGTATCTTAATCAGTGTCTTCACTGCTAGGCTAAATGCCTGTCCTTACATATTAAAATCAGAAATACAAAAAGTAGAGAGAATTTTTTTTAAAAACCAGGTTCTACTAATTAAAATTTTCTATATAAATATAACTGAAGCTCTATATGTCTCTTTCATTCCCCATCAGAGGTAACTGCTACTTGCAGTATGGTGGTCAATACCTCCAGGATTTTTACTATATAAGTATGTGTCCCCTCAAAACATACACAATTATTTTTCTAAGTTTTATTAAAATGGTTTAGAGTATTATATAAGCAACTTGATTTCTATTGGCCAATACTGTATTTTTAAGATTCATTCACCTTGTTACATTAGCTTGAGCTAATTTATTTCAAATGCCAAAGAGAATTCCAATGAATATACCAAAATGCATTCATTCTGTTAAGAAAGTCTGTAATTGTTCTCTATTATAAATAATGTTACAATATTCTTGTGCATGTCTTCAAATGGGAATATTTGAGAATTTCTCAGCTATATACCTAGGAGTATAGTTGCAGGGTCAAAGGAAACTAATGAACACCTAACCCTACAAACTATTCAGGCCGATTAATTTTTAAAAACTGGAATTGTTCATATACACCAACTACTACCCAATATAAAATAGGATGTTTATGGAAATCTTCATTCATTCAATCAGTTTGGATAGTTAACTGCATGTACAGAAGCATGCTATCCTATAATATACTACATATGACAGTAAGTAAGAAAATAAAATGCATATACTTAACAAAAGTCAAATAATAACATGGACATGTCTTGGGGCATATAATCAAGGAGTGACACACAGAAACTATAACTGCTATTGTTCAGAGGAGAGAGAGATAACTGAGTACTTACTGAAAGCTTCTCAAAGGAGGTGGGAGTAATCAGTGCCAGGCACTGGGGAGCAGCAGACTGAGTAATGCTAAGCAGTAGGTTAAGCTTGGGATGCCCGTAGCAGCCCACATAGGAAGGCAGGTTCAAGTCCCAGTTCTCTGCTTCCAATCTAGTTTTCTGCTAATTCATCCTAAGAGGCAGTAGATAATGGCTCAAGTGTTTGGTCCCTCCATCAATGTTGAAGAGCAGGAGGGAATTCTAGGCTCCTGGCTTTGGCCTGGTCCAACCTTAATTATTTTGGGCACTTGGAGAGTGAACCCACAGATAGAAGCTCTGTCTCTCTATCCCGCTCTTTTGCTCTGTCCCTCCACCTTTCAAATATATGAAAATAAATAAGTAAATTATAAAAAGGAGAAATCCATAAATAATTCATATGTAAGTGGAAATAAGAAGTTGGGGAACAGTGAAAATGAAGGATGTACCAAAGTTCATGGAAAATGCCTAGTATGAAAAAACTATGCACAGTTTTCTTTTTTTTTTTTTTTTTTTTGTATTGGAGCAGGTGCCGTGGTACAGTAGGTTAAGCTACTGACTGGGATGCTCGTATCTTATACTAGGGTGCCTAGTTTGAGTCCTACATCCACTTCCAACCTAGCATCCTGCCAATGCACATCTTGGGAGACAGGAGATAATAGGAGGTTCCTATTACCTATGTGGGAGACCCAGATGGAGTTCCTGGCTTCTGGTTTTGGCCTGGACTAGCCCTGGCTGTTGTAGGCATTTGGGAAGTAAACCAGCAGATGGAAAACTGATGTTTCAAATAAATGAAAAATAAACTTAAAATTTTTTTTTATCAAAATAAGCCTCTTTTAATTCCACTGTTCTATGATCCTTTGAAGTACCTTGTATCTGTTTGGCTGAAATAATGTAATGACTAAATATACACATGCACACATAGTACTGAGTATGAAAGAAAAACATGTCCAATTAATATAAATTAGGAAATGAGGGAATGTATTATGATACAAACAATATTTAAGAACTCAAAAAAATGGTGACATTTGAGAGTACTTAAGTCCAGGATTTTTTCTATGCAGTAAAAATATAATTTATGAAAGATTCTAATTCTCTTTCTGAACTGTGTCTATACTTGCACAATGCTCTGCATTATTTTATATAATTATAATTTAATAAAACATGGTAGTGTAATATAATTACAGTAATAACTTTTAGATTGTATTACCAGGGATGCACATTTGAGGCACATCCTTGCTGTAAAATGAAGTCTTGGGATTCCTGAAAGCAGTTCTAGATACGGCCACAACAGACTGATGGATACTTGGTGAGTGTCTTGTTACTGCCACTATATCTTCATCAACTTGATCCACATACACCTGAGAAGCCACAGACCAACTAACTTTAGCACTCAACCAGGAAACCAGGGCTCAAATTGGAAAGATACTCTGAAATTGAACCTCAAGAATGAAATTTTGAAAATTTAGCTTTTTACCTGAATAAAACCTTTGGCTCCAAGCTCTTGATGAAGTTTATTGATAGCACACCTGGCTGCAATAATTCCACTTTGGAAATTAACTTCACCAGCATTTGATGGCAAGGCTTCAGGGTTCCATTTAGTGTAAAAACGTTCTTCAGAAACCACTGAAATCTGAACAAAAGTAAAACTCAGCCATGCATTTATTTTAATTATAATGAGGCCTTTTGAGAAAATCTCAAAAGTTCTTAGCCATGTGCATTTTAAAAAACAGCACACAAACCTGATGTGGCACTAATTCATCATAGCCCCTTGTACTTCCACTAGCACAACAAGCCATAGAAACAATTGTGGTACTTGGAAGAGCATCGTACACTGATCTATGCTAGGAAACAAAAACAAAGAATAGTTTACTTTCTTTCAAATGCAAAATGCCATTCTAAAGCATAATGAGGTAAAAGGATAATTACAGATACATTCCATAAAGTAATTAATTTGTTTTAAAACAAGTAAAATATTCTAAAAACGATGTACTGCAATGATTTATAATTCTAAGAGGCCATTTTGAGGTATGTGGATATTACTCTCAGTAGGTATCACAGAACTTAATATTAAAACACTTAGAAAAATAAGCAAATACAAGAAACAGATTGGATGCTTACCACAATAGGGCACTCATTATCATGGGTAATATCCATAAACAGAGCGTGTGCGATGGCCGGCATTAAAGGCCTCAAACAGGGCTGAACAAAGGATCCAACAGGTTCTCCTCCATATCGGTAAACTAATCTGCCTTCTTCATGACTATTATATGCACTCATTGCCTCTGCAGAGCATTACCAAATATTTATCAATCTCCAATATTTATGTTCAAGAGGTGGATAGATTCATTATGATTAATTTTCAAACTAAAGACCCCCATCAATATTACCAAAAATAAAACTGCTTCAAACATTTAAACAAATGTCCCTTAGCTTAGAACAAAAAAAAATTTCCTATAGCTTCTTTGGAGAAATGGCTCCTGTGTGAATGGAACATAAATGAACATAAGTGGTTTATTAGGTTGTTGGCTATACACAATTTATGGGGAAAAAAATCTAGAAATCACATCATAAATCCAGTTAAGGAGATGAAAAACAAATTTGGATATTTTCAAGAGCAATAAAAAGATGGCCTTGTTCATGAGTCATCAGTTCATTACACAGATATTTCAGTTTGAACTGAAGCATCTTACTCCAAAAGTAGAAATCTTTACTTATTAAAAAAAACTGTGTTACATTATAAAATTTTATATAGACTATTTAAATGAACATGAATTATGCTATAAATTATTAAACACTACATACAGAGCTATTAAATGCCTTTTAATCTACTTAAACAGAAGCTGAAGTTTTAGACGGCAAATACACTTCAACAAGCCTACCTCTTATTAAGGAACTAATGCCCAGTCTGGTAACAAAGATGTTGTCCAGATCTTCACTTCCTGTGAACAGTTCGGCTACTACATATAAATTGGGTTGCAATTTCCTAGCAGCATCCAACATGTACTGCAAAAAGCACAGTCACAAATGTAACAGAAAGAGAAAAGCAAGATGGGGGTGGAGGAGCAAGACTAGGCATGGATTTGATATAGGAAAATGTGTAGCAAAATGAAATGGAAATTCAAAAAGAATTTCCAAATAAATTTTGTTGCATGTAAGAAAATATCAAACAGATCAACACACATTAGGAAATGAGGATTTACACAGAGAATAAAACAGTTAAAAAGGAATATTAGGTTTCACAAAGATATGGGGACATAAGGGAGAAAAAAAAGAAGAAAAATATTAGTGACATGTTAAAAAACATAAACCTTAACACTGCAATTCTACTAGGATTTCCTGCTGGTTTTGATTTTTAACACCTCTAATCAGACTTAATTTCCAGGTGGTTGACTAAGGCATTGTTGACATATTTCCTGCTGGTGAATTACAAAGGAACTTCAAACAGATCTTGGAAAAGTGGAATTTAAAGAAAAGTATATTTTGGTGCAAAAAAATGTAATTCGTGCATAGTTCTTTCATAATATGCATTTTCCATGAACTTTTTGAAGACTTTTCATGTTTAGTGCAGTTTTATCAAATTGAAGCCAGCTTTTCCCACAGATGATAATCAACTCTTAAACTCCTACATCTTATAATTTCTACTTCTGTAATTTATGTTTAACATTGGTGTTTACTTTTAAGTTGAGAATAAGAAAATACTGGCACAATCAAAAATCAGATTGGTTACAAACTTTTTTTTAACTTTATTTTTATGTTTTCACAAAAGTTAATAAAATACTTGAAATTCTACCAGCCAGCAAGTAGAACCCCAGAGGATTTTGTAATTCACAATCAAGCAAAATAAAATCTCAATATTGTTTCTGCTGATGTTATAACAGTCTTACATGAATATATTTTTTGCTGATGCTAAAGGCATAGAAAATAAATACCCTGCCATTTTTGAAGTGAAACAATGTTCTGCCTGCTACACTAATGTACACTAACTCTCTCTGTTTCAAATTAAGCTTTCATCACAGGACTTAAAACATATATATGACACTTTTAAAATTACAACAATAGATTTTTTTCAGATAAGCACAAATTTCGAAAGAACACTAAATTGTCACTAGGAAGCTACCGAATATCTTAGAAGCAGGATGAAAATGTAAGTGCTTATTTATAAGATTGTATTAGGTAGAACAGAAAACCGTAAATACTGGCATTGTTCAAAACTCAGAGAGACAACATTTATGTTTACACTTTCATTTTTATAAATAACTAATAAAAATTCAAACAGTAAGGCTAAAGGTAGGCTTACTATACCATATAGTTAGTATTTTATAATTACCATTATGTGTATTAGGCTACTCCACAGTAGCTAATGTATATTGAAAGCAACCTAAAAATAACACAAATATTTAAATATTATCAGTATGCAATATGGTTGTAACATGTTATGAGAGAACATAATCAATTTCCATAAGTTAAAATTTAAAAATTAACTCATAAATATTATATAGCACAGTATTCCATAGCAACTGCACCAAAAAATTGTTAGAATTGTGCCAATTATGCAAAAGTATTAAATTCTACCTAAACAATGCTGGTGTCCAACTAGCAAAGGAAACATGCATCTGCACAGTCTCTCTAAGGAAAGCTAAGAATGAATACTGAATTTCTTAAAGCAGATGAATTATCATTCTGTACCTCGGCTACATGAAGAGGTGTTGAATGGCAATTATCAAGACGTACTCCTTGGAAATAAGTTGCAATTATTTCAGTGTATTTTCTCATGTGTGCCCAGAGATAAGGACAGTCCTCTGGTTTAGTTCCATAGCGTAATTTAACACTGTCTCCCCAGCAAATAAGTTCTCTTCTTAAATAAACATCTGAACCTGTTAAGAAAGAAGCCTGCTTTCAATGGTTCAAGAAATAAAATGACAGGCTGGCACTATGGCACAGTGGGTTAAAGCCCCAGCCTGTAGTGGTTGTATCCAATATGGGCACCAGTTCGAGTCCTGACTGCTCCACTTCTGATCCAGCTCCCTGCTAATGTGCCTGGGAATGCAGCAGAGGATGGTCCAAATCCTTGGTTCCCTGCACTCACATGGGAGACCTGGAAGAAGCTCCTGGCTGCTGGCTTTGGATTGGGTCAGCTACAGCCTTTGTGGCCATTTGGGGAATGAATGAGCAGACAGAAGATCTCTCTGTCTGTCTGTCTCTACCACACTCTGTAACTCTGTCTTTCAAATAAATTAAATCTTTAAAAGAATCGTCTTTAAAAGAAATAGAATGAAAACACTGCTGTTTTCAAGTCACGTTGGTTATTTCTACCACAAAGGACAAGCTAGTTAAAATTATATCTAAAGTGATATGGAACAAAGCTTTAAAAATTAATATTAGTTTTTATCTCATACCTATTTTATAAAAATTCTAGCTGATAGTCTCTTTGAAAAATATGTGCTCAGTTTCAAAAATCAAGTTATTTCTTCAGGGAAAATAGTGATACTGATATCATATAACCTTCACAGTTATAATTCCATCAAAAACATTATAAGCTCCATCTGTATCTTTCTTACATTTTTGACAATAGATTATATTAAATCCATGACATAGAAATGGCTTTTTTATTTAAACTGGCCAGAAAAGAAAGAGAAAATACATAAACCCAAAGTTACATTTTTTTAAACAGAAGATAAGACTTCTTAATTAACTATAATATTGCTAAAATGAATTCCAAGTTCTGAAATACTAAAAATAAATATATTATTTACAAAATTCTTCCTAGCAATAAAATAACTATATAAAATAGGTTGCTGGGCCAGTGCCATGGCTCAATAGGCTAATCCTTTGCCTGCAGCGCTGGCACTCTGGGTTCTAGTTCCGGTAGGGGCACCGGTTCTGTCCCAGTTGCTCTTCTTCCAGTCCAGCTCTCTTTTGTGGCCCGGGAAGGCAGTGGAGGATGGCCCAAGTACTTAGGCCCTGCACCCGCATGGGAGACCAGGAGAAGCACCTGGCTCCTGGCTTCAGATTGGTGCAGTTCTGGCCGTTGCGGCCATCTGGGGAGTGAACCAATGGAAGGAAGACGCTAAGAGTTAGGGGGAAATCTAAAACAATTATTTTCTAGTTTAACTACCAAACAAGTACCTTAATACTTTCCTTTTATGGAAATCTAATATCCCTGGTTTCAGACTTTTTTAAAAAATGCAATATACAGGGCTGGCGCAGTGGTACAGTAGGTTAATCCTCCGCCTACGGCGCCAGCATCCCATATAGATGCCGGTTCTAGTCTTGACTGCTCCACTTCCAATCCAGCTCTCTGCTATGGCCTGGAAGATGGCCTGAGTGCTTGGGCCCCCACACGCACGTGGGAGACCAGGAAGAAGCTCCTGGCTCCTGGCTTCGGATTGGTGCAGCTCCTCCCGTTGCAGCTATTTGGGGAATGAACCAAAGGAAGGAAGACCTTTCTCTCTGTCTCTCCCTCTCATTGTCTGTAACTCAACCTTTCAAATAAAATAAATACAATCTTTAAAAAAAATTTGTCTAAAAAATGCAACATAACAATATTTTACCTGAATAAAAGCTTATGTAGACCTATAATATATAAAGTAGATACATAAATGCTCATCTATTTGAGAAAGTGAGAGGTAGGAGGCACAGGAGAGGAAAGGAGATAAACCTCCCCAACTTTTTTGCCAACTCCTTCTGTTCTCTCCCAAAGTGATGCATCTCTGATACCTCTGGGTCAAACGGTTTAAAGACCACTAGCCTCATGGGGTAGGAAAAAAAATCAATAAAAGAAATTATATTTTCAGTTTACCACAAACTCTGTTTTCCCTATTCATACAGACATTAAAAGTAATGTACCTGGTTCAGCAAAGTTTCGAAGAGGATCATCTCCCATTACCCAACCATTATGTGCCATGAAGAAACAAGCTTTGTTTGGGAGGTGAATCATAGTTTCTTCTGTAGATACAGGCATTTCCTCAAATGGAAAAGTAAAGTACCTATGGAGAGAAAATCGAATATTACATCCAGACAGAGACACTACTTGGAGAGAATCTGAATTAGCAATATTAAAATTTTTTTCTAATGAACAGAAAAAATGAGTTTTGTGCCATTTATAGAAAATACACTTCCATATGGGTCAAAGATCTTCAGTGGATTTTTTGAGTAAATCTGGCAGCATTCAAGGAATGAAGAGTTAACAGTATACCATAACCAGCTAATACTTTAAGTAATTTTTAAAAGCTCATAAAATTACAAGATCATTGCGGTATTAATGTTACTCTGCAAAGGTTTTTACTACACTCAAACTGCCCAACTCATGCTGCATGTTAGGTATAAAGTAAGGAGCAAGATACTCATTCAACTTGATTAACAATCTTTTTTTTTTTTTTTAATTTTACTAAGTGCTACGATTTGAGTGTGAATTCAAGGGGTGGAACCTTAATTCCTCTATGCAGCAGTACTGGAAGGAGGAACCTGATGGGAGCTATTTGGGTCCTGGGAGTGGAGCTCTTATAAATGAACTGACTTCCTCATCTGAGCTCTTGCTCTCAAAAGATTGGATTAGTTATCACAAGAGTGGACTGTTATAAAGTAAGGCTGCCTCTCTTATTTTGTCTCTTCTGCGCACCCTGACCTGCTCATCTGTTTTTCCCCAGGGGTTGAAGCAGCCTGAGACCCTCAACAGAAGTGGAACAGATGCCAGCATCATGCTCTTGGACTTCACAGCCTCTAGAACTGTGAGCCAAAATAAACTCCTTTATAAACTAAGCTTATTTTCCAAATCAAAACTTCTATTTCAATTTAAGTAATATACTGAGAGGCCAGTGTTGTGGTGCAGCAGGTTAAGCCACCATTTGCAATGCCAGTATCCTTTATGGGCACCAGTTTGAGGCTCAGCTGCTCCACTTCTGATCCAGCTCTCTGATAATGCACCTGGGAAAGAAGCAGAAGATGGCTCAAGTCTCTGGGTCTCTGCACCCAGGTGGGAGACGTGGAAGAAGCTCCTGGCTCCTGGCTTCAGTCTGGCCCAGCCCTAGTCATGCAGGGGAGTGAACCAGAGGGTAGAAGACCTCTATTTCTCCCTCTCTCTTTTTCTATAACTTTGTCCTTAAAATAAATAAAATAAATATTTTAAAAAGTACTGAAATTATACAGTAAAGGAAATACTTAGGTTAATCTGGAAAGTTAAATACAAGTCTAAAATTTTAATCATCAATGAGAAGAAAACAAAAATGGAATACCTGGTAACTAAAGGATATTTTCTAGTGACAGGTCCTAATTTAGGACCATGGCCAGCCAGTCGTTCATAAAACACATTTCCCAAAAGACAGTTAACTGCCTGGAAAATATTAAATTATGTTACATCATTATCATCAGCAGCAGCAACAAAATATTATTAAGACTCAAAGAAAAACAGCAATTCAAAAATAAGTAAGACCTGTTCCTGATGATAGTTCATGAGTTGATGCTTCTCTGAATTTAATTCCTCAATTCTCTTCCGGAACCAGTTACAGCATTCTTCAATTGCAGCTGGCCCATTGCTAGAGCAGATAGAGTATTACAAACTTAGTGTTTAATTGTTTTTGCAAAAATCTACACTTAAAAATTTCCTAACAAGATACACAAAAACCTTAATCATCACAATATTTTAAGTCTGGTAGAAGTATACAAATTGTAAAAGGGTTTACACACATTCAGGGGAACATGACTTTGACACCCAGAGAAAGTGGGAAGATGTCATGTGTTGAAGCAGAATTATGGTGTTTTACTTTACTTCATTTTTTACGAATGGTTTTAATAGGTAGAATAAAAATAATATTTGCTATAAAAGTTTATAAATAATATTATTCCTTATTTTCTAAGAAGAACACATAACATACTCGTGTGGTATGAAAGTTGCTAGTGCAATGTTCATATCTACAGTACAGCCAAACCGTCTGTATTCAGGATCCTGGATAATCTTGAGATGTTGTTTTGGATCTGACTTGATTACCCTCCAAGTTTCTGAAAGAAAAGATGATATCCTAAGTGCAAATATCCACACTGGATGAACACAGAGAACAGACAATGTGTATTTATTTTATAAATGACCATACACTATGAAGTATTATGGTGGTACTTTAAATGAGTATAAAAGAATGGATTATCAACTCAACATTGTTTTTTTGAAATACAACATTAAATGCCCTCTTTGTATAACACACAAAAACAAATTCCAGGTATATTAAATATTTAAATGTAAAAATATAAGATTCAGAAGAAAACAGAATGTTAATGAAAGGTCTTTTCTAAACATGTTATAGAATCAGAAGTCATAAAAAACTGACATTTTGAAAAGAGAACCCACCATAAACAAGAATTAAAAGATCAACAGCATACTAGGATGATATAATGGAGGCCTGTATAATAAGGAATCATCAATAATAATGAATCAATATGAAAAAATTTTAAAAACCAATAGAACAACAATCCAGTAGAAAATAACTCAAGAAATATTAACAATTAAGAGAAGAAATATGTCTAATTATGTGAAAATATACTTTATTAATAAGCAAAGATTAAAATAAAGTATGTTTTGCCTCATTGACAAAGAATATGAAGATTAATGGCACCTAATGTTGGTGAGGATATTGTCTGTGGTAATGTAGGTTGGTATAACTTAGAAAACGCCACTTGGCAATATCATATTTGAAATTTGTATACCCATTGACCTGGCAATTTTATTTCTAACAATTTACCCTATATTTAGTAATATAAGTAAACATAACATGTACAAGAATATATTGTTTGCACTGCTGCTTGTAAAGTGTAAGTTCCACTAGGGCCATGTTCACCACTTAGTCTCCACACCTAGGAAAATGTCCAGTGCACAGTAGGTGGTTCAATAAATACGAAGGTACTTCAAAATGTCCAGGAAAAATTTAAGATAAATTTATTTTAGTGCAAAAATTTTGGAAATCAATGCATAGTTTTTTTCATAATACATAATTTCCACTAACATTTTGAAGACCCTTTCTATGCACTGAATGAATTAGTGAACAATGAAAAAACCAGAAACAGCTAGCTAAACTTAAGTACTTTAAAACATAATGTATTGTCACTGTAGATTTAAAAAAATAAGGTTCAGTGCTGTGATATAGCGGGTAAGGCCGCTGCCTGAAGCAGCACTGGCATCCCATGTGGGTGCCAGTTCATGTCCTTGCTGCTCCACTTTTGATTCAATTCAATTCCCTGCCAATGCACCAAGTCCCTGGGCCCCTGCACACATGTGGGAGACCAAGAAGAAGCTCCTGGCGGCCAGCGCTGCGGCTCACTAGGCTAATCCTCTGCCTGCGGCGCTGGCACCCTGGGTTCTAGTCCTGGTTGGGGCGCCGGTTCTGTCCTGGTTGCTCTTCCTGGCTCCTGGCTTTGGACCTGCGCAGTGTGCAGGCAGTGGTGGCCATTTGGGGGTTGAACCAATGGAAGGAAGACCTTTCTCTGTCTCTCTCTCTCACTGTCTAACTCTGCCTGACAAAAAAAAAAAAAAAAGAAGCTCCTGGCTTCAGATCAGCTGAGCTCCAGCCATTGGGGCCATTTGAAGTGTGAACCAGCAAATGGAAAATCTCTGTCTCTTCCTCTTTCTCTATAACTACCTTCCAAATAAAATAAATCTTAAAAAAAAAAAGAAATAGAACTGTAGTAAACTCATATTGTCAACTAAAAGAATTAGCTGTTAGTATTTGCCCTAGTCTTATTTGAGTATATAAGTTATATATGTACAGAAATTATGTATATAATTTATATAGAGGTAATTACATAAAAAAACTACACTTAAAATTTAAATTTCTTTCAAAAGAGAGTCTAAAGGAGGCATAAATGATTAGTTCTCCCTAAAAAGGGAATTTGGGGAGAATGAAAGTCACATTGTATTATAATTTTTAATGATTTGTCTTTTTTTCTTTATAATGAGTATGTATCATTCCATATAAGTAATATAGCTCATAAATTTTAGAGGGAAAGGAAGATAGAGGTCCTTTGATAAAGTGAAATATGAAGAAGGCCAGTATCAAAAACTGTGGTACACAATTTTTTTTTTTTGGACAGGCAGAGTGGACAGTGAGAGAGACAGAGAGAAAGGTCTTCCTTTTGCCGTTGGTTCACCCTCCAATAGCCGCCGCGGCCGGTGCACTGCGCTGATCCGATGGCAGGAGCCAGGTACTTATCCTGGTCTCCCATGGGGTGCAGGGCCCAAGCACTTGGGCCATCCTCCACTGTACTCCCTGGCCACAGCAGAGAGCTGGCCTGGGAGAGAGGCAACCGGGACAGAATCCGGCACCCCGACCAGGACTAGAACCCGGTGTGCCAGCGCCGCAAGGCGGAGGATTAGCCTAGTGAACCGCAGCGCCGGCTGTGGTACACAATTGTAAAGTTGATACCTGAATCTGACTGAGCTTCCTGAATCTTAGATCATATTGACTTCTACTTTAAGGGTGTCATTTCTGAGGCCTCTTCTCATTGTGGTTTCTGGATGAGAAAGATAAGTCATTATGTTAAGAACTCCCCCAAATCCTCATTGATAAATTATCCTACACTAACTGCAGATATATTTTTTAAGATTATTTAAAAAATTTATTTGAAAGGCAAAATGACAGAGAAAGAAGGAGAGAGGGAGAGGGAGAGGGAGAGGGAGAGAGAGAGAGAGAGAGAGAGAGAGAAAATCCTTCATCTGCTGGTTTACTTCCCAAATGGTCCCATCTGCCGGGCTGAAGTCAGGAGCCAGGAACTCCTTCCTGGTCTCCTGGGTGGAAGGCAGGGGCTTAAGCTCTTGGGCCATCTTTCACTGCCTTCCCAGGTACATTCGTAGGAAGCAAGATGGGAAGCAGAGTAGTCTGGATTCGAACCAGCACTCCAATATGGATGCTGGTATCCCAGGCAGCAGCTTAACCTGCTGTGCCACAAAGCCAGCCCCTTCAGATACACTTTTTAGAACTCTTTTAAATTATTTCCTAGAAACCTAATTTCACGTTTTTGTGTGGTTTCTCCTATCTTTTGTTGGAGGCTCTTTTATTAACTTTTTGATTAGTTATGTCCTTAACTGAAGATTTCTTTACCTCTTGAAACTCACTAATACATGGCTTCAATATCACTAATGGTTAAGAGGCCTCCTAAATGGTGTGCACCATCAGTCTGGAAGCCCTCTATGTCAGCTAAGGTTCTTGCTGTAGACTGCAGACTAGCACATCTCTCAGTCTTTCTCAGGTGAAGTAAACTGCTCCACCTACCTTCCACTCACAGTTTTAACAAAGATACACTAAATTCCATATTCTGAGATTTTTTTTTTGACAGGCAGAGTGGACAGTGAGAGAGAGAGTCAGAGAAAGGTCTTCCTTTGCCGTTGGTTCACCCTCCAATGGCCACCACGGCGGGCGCACCGCGCTGATCCGAAGGCAGGAGCCAGGTGCCTATCCTGATCTCCCATGGGGTGCAGGGCCCAAGCACTTGGGCCATCCTCCACTGCACTCCCTGGCCACAGCAGAGAGCTGGCCTGGAAGAGGGGCAACCGGGACAGAATCCGGCACCCCGACCAGGACTAGAACCCGGTGTGCCGGCGCCGCAAGGCGGAGGATTAGCCTATTGAGCCACGGTGCCAGCCCGTATTCTAAGAATTTTAACAAACCAATTATAAGATACCGTCCCCAAAGGAAAAAAAATGTTATGTACTATTATGACATGTCTTTTAGATGTCACTCCTCAGCTTCCAAAATCATAGTTTTATAACATTAAATATGACGTTTATAGTAACAGATCTAATAACAATGTTAATCAGAGAAAAGAAAAGTTACCCCTTTAAGAGTAGTATTACCTTTCTTAAAATTGACAGGGACAGTCTAGCGTATGCCCTTTACCTTGTGTTAGAAGTCCTCTAAATTTCTCAACTGCTTTGTAAACGTCTACTTGGAAAAATTCCCAGAGATGAAGCTTTGGAAAAATATCCTCCCAAATTACTTTTCGAATGCACTGAAAAAGGTCAATGGTTAAAAAAATGTATAAATTTTCACCAAATACTGTTTATATATTAATAGAGTCTAAATAATTTTCAACCGTGTATTTAATTTGTACTTTAGAAATTTTGTTATTCTGTTTTTGTGTGGTACTTCTTCATACATACTTACATTCAAATGATGATCATTCTCAATCAAAGCAGGTACTCCTCTGTTTTTGTATTTTCCTTCCGCAACATCACAGGAGAAATGCCACAGTGCTCTGTCTAAGACCCAGGCAGGTTTTAAGTGTGGTGAGTTCACAAGATTATATGCACATTCTGGATGTTCCTGAATCCATTTACTATTAGCAGCTTAAAAAAGGAACACAAAAGAATATCTCATAACTGAATTTGTCAATATCCATTTTGTTTAAAGGTAAAATAAGATATCAATTACTCATTTCCTGCTATATGGGACATAAGTATTTTATAATGACCAAGTCATATGAAAAAAATTTTCTTTGTTTATGGTATCCTATAATTCACTTCACCATACTTTTATTTTTTTAAAAGATTTGTTGGGGCCACCAGTGTGGGGTAGTAGGTTAAGTCTCTGCTTGCAGTGCTAGCATCCCATCTGAGCACCGTTGAAGTCCCGGATGCTCCACTTCCTATCCAGTTCCCTGCTAATGGCCTGGGAAAGCAGCAGAAATCAGCCCAAGTGCTTGAGACCCTGCACCCACAGGGGAGACCCAGAAGACGCTCCTGGCTCCTGGCTTCAGATGAACCCAGCTCCAGCCATTGTGGCCATTTGGGGAGTGAACTAGCGGATGGAAGATCTCTCTATTTCTCCCTCTCTCTCTAACTCTGCCTCTCAAATAAAAAAAAAATCTTTTTTTTTAAAGTTTGTTTTATTTGAAATAACGAGTTACAGAGAGAGACAGGCAGAGACAGAGAACTTCCATCTGCTGGTTCATCCCCCAAATGGCTGCAATGGCTGGAACTGGGCCAGTCCAAAGCCAGGAGCCAGGAGCTTCCTCCAGATCTCCCACATGGGTGCAGGGGCCCACGCACCTGGGCCATCTTCTGCTGCTCTCCTAGGCGTAGCAGCAGGGAGCTGGGTCGGAAGTGGATCATCTAGGACTCAAAAACCGGCCCATAAAGGATACCAGAACCACGGGCAGTGGCTTTCCCTGCTATGTCACAGCGCTGGCCCCATTATCATACATTTTTTTAAAGATTTTATTTATTTATTTGAGAGGTATAGTTACAGACAGAGAGAGGGAAGACTGAGAGAAAGGTCTTCCATCCTCTGGTTCACTCACCAAATGGCTACAACGGCCAGAGGTGAGCCAATACAAAGCTGGGAGTTAGGAGCCTCCTCCAGGTCTCCTTGGGGCATCTTCCACTGCTTTCCCAGGCCATAAGCAGAGACCTGGATGGGAAGTGGAGCAGCTGCAACAGGAACCAGTATCCATATGGGATGCAGGATTAGCCTACTATAAGCCACAGCACCAGCTCCCCACCATACATTTTTTTTTTATTTTTTTTTTTATTTTTTTTTTTATCTTTTATTTAATGAATATAAATTTCCAAAGTACGTCTCATGGGTTACAATGGCTTTCCCCCCCATACCCACCATACATTTTTTAAAACTTTTTTTCTGCTTAGAAAACTTTGAGGGAAGAAAAATTATTATATTTTTCAGAGATAACATACATTTGGATAGTTAATCCTAATGGGTGAATAAGATACATTGTTTTGATAAGACCAAAAAAAGGCTGAGAAAGCACTGAAAGGAACACTTAGGAGCTGGTGCTGTGGCTCAGTGGGAAATGCCACTGCCTGTGATGCAGTCTTGAGTACCAATGAGTGCCTGCTGTTCCACTTCTGGGCCAGCTCTCTGCTAGTGCACCTGAGAAAGCAGCAAAGATGGCCCAAGTGATTGGGTGCTTGCCACCCACATGGGAGATCTGAAAGAAGTTCCTGGCAACTGGCTTTAGCGTGGCCCTGTCCCAATCATTGAGGCCATTTGGGGAGTGAACCAGCAGATGGAAGGTAACTCTCTCTCTGCCACTTCTCTCTGTAACTCTGCCTTTCAAATAAATTCAATAAATCTTTTTAAAAAAGAAATAAAGAATAACAGTTGTATCTTATATGTATCCATCTTCATCAGCCAGTTCAGAATCAGAATCAGAAGTTTGGTAAAGTATTCCAAGTACTTACAACATTAAAGATAATTATATCAATTGATTGATTTTCATTTTATTTGAAGGGCACAAAAACATAGAGATCCTCCATTCACTGGCTCACCATCCAAATGTCTGCAATGGCTGGAGCAGGGCCAGGCCGAAGCCAGGAGTCCAGACATAATCCAGTTCTCCCAAATGGGTGGTGGGGACCCAAGGACTTGAGCCATCACCTCTGCTTCCTAGGGTGTGCATTACCAGGAAGCTGGGATAGGAAATAGAGCCAAGACTAGCCTAGGCACTCCAATATGAGATAGGCATGCCTGCCCTGCTTTAATTTTTAAAATAAATATAATTTATATACAATTTGATCTTTAAAATGTATTAATGCCCCTGTTGTGCAGGAAATAAAAGTGGTAATAATTACTGAATATCTACTTCATATCACAAATTGTTGTAAGCAGTTAAAGGCGTGAATTTACTTAAAATATTTCTGTATTTGTTTATTGGAAAGGCAGAGTGACAGAGTGGGAAACAGACAGACACACATAGAGATTTTCCATTTGCTGGTTTACTCCCTGAATGGCTGCAACACTTAGGTCTGTGCCAGACTGAAGCCAGGAGCCTTGAATTCCCCCTGCATCTCCCATGTGAGTGGCAGAGGCCAAATACTAGACCATCATCTGCTGCATTCTCAGGCTCACTAGCAGGGACCTGGATCCAAAGTGGAGCACCCAGGACTCGAACTGGTGCTCTGATATGGGATGCCGATGACTCAAGTGGTGGCTTTAACTCACTGTGCCGCAGCGCTGGTCCTGCACCAATTCATTGTTTCTCATTTTCTGCCACCCAATGTAAGGCATACTGGTTTGTTCCTTTAACAGTTAATGGACTGAGGCTCAGAGAGATAAGCAACTCAGTTGAAGTCTTACAGCCAGAAATTAATGTGGGCAAGTCTCTCTTCAGAATCTGCAATTTACAATCTGCCTGCTGCTGAGATGAATGTACTCATGCCTCATTTACTCAGTTGCTCACCTTTTGAGAGTTTTAGAATCATTATTCTTAGTTTTGTTCATTTATTTGGTAAATCACTTATTTATTTATACTCATAATAAATGTTTGGATGAAGACAGGATACAGAGGGGCAGAGATACTGTTAATAAAAGTTAAATTGATAAATCCCCAAATTTGCATCTAGATAGTTTCCCCTACATTCATCATCATATTCACTAAAAATCAAGATGTTTGCTGAAAAGATACAGTACAGCAATGACTACATCCAATTAGGATTTTCACGTACTAAGAATAAATACTGGGTGTTTGGTGCTAAGGCTTAAGTTAATATTTGGGATGCCTTCATTCTGTACTGGAGTGCCTGTTTGAGTTCTGGCTACTCTGTTTCTGATCTAACTTCCTGGTGATGCCCATCGTGGGAAGGAATAAATGATGATTCAAGAACTTGAGTCTTTGCCATCCTTATCGGAGATCCAAATTGAGGTCCAGGCTCCTGGTTTTCAGCCTGGTCCAGCTCTGGCTGTTGCAGGCATTTGGGGAATGAACCACCTGATGGAAGAACTCTCTGTGTCTCTTTGTTTCTTTGCCTTTCCAATAAAATTAATTAAAAAAAAAAAACAGAATAATACTAAGGTTATCTTAAATTTTTAAAGATAAAATCCTGAAATTCTTCCTTTTCTTAATATTTTGAAAGAAAATCAAGTGTAAAATTAAAGAATTCTAAACAGGTGCTGGTGCTGTGGCACAGTAGGCTAAGCCTCCACCTGTGGCACTGGCATCCCATTTGGATGCCGGTTTGTGTCCTGGCTGCTCCTCTTCAATCTACCTTTCTGCTATGGCCTGGCAAAGCAGTAGAGGTTGGCCCAGGCACTTGGGTCCCTGCACCTGCATGGGAGACCTAGGAGAAGCGCCTGACTCCAGGCTTCAGATCGGCCCAGCTCCAGCCATTGTGACCTTCTGGGGAGTAAAACCTGCAGATGGAATGCTTTTTTGTCTGTCTCTCCCTCTCTGTCTATAACTCTAGCTCTCAAATAAAGAAAATCTTTAAAAAAAAATCTAAACATTATGCAGTAAAAGTGTTTTTTCTAATTCTATATGAAAGAGGAGTTAAACTCCAAACTATGTTTCAACGCACAAAATTAAAAAGTAAACATGGACTAGAGTGGCACAGTACTCACTTTTCACAACAAAACAATTTAACTTGTGATAATTATAAAGAGCAATAGTTTAATATCTCTGGAAATTGCCTGGAATATACAGAGAAACATTTATTCAAGATAAGAATAGCAAGAGTCAATGGCATTTGAACAAAGACTTGTTTGAATTTGATTGGGCCTGCCAACGTAGGGCAGGATGTCCACTATAGCTGTGAGTTGGTGAAAGAAAGAAGCTGTGATACTTCTCTGCCTGCTTACCTGGAGCAAAGCTTCTGTGCCATGGCGCTGCAGGGAATGAAAAACTTACATGCTGGTTGCCCCTCCCAGAGGGAAACTATAATCCTGGCCTGGGAGAGGCGGGCAGAGGGAGTCTCCATCTTGGCCACACTTGCCAGGAGTAGAGTGCTTGGGTATGTGGGCAATGGAGCAGGTCTTGGTTCAGATGCCACAGACTCTTGCCTGCATCCCAAAGCCAGGTCTCCCAAGTGGGTGTTAGGGACCCAAGGACTTCAGCCTGGTTTCTAGGTGCATGCACATACACCAGATTTCTTTCACTTTCTTTCTAATCAATTTTTTTTTTTTTTTGACAGGCAGAGTGGACAGTGAGAGAGAGACAGAGAGAAAGGTTTTCCTTTGCCGTTGGTTCACACTCCAATGGCCGCCGCGGCTGGCGCGCTGCAGCCAGCGCACCGCGCTGATCCGAAGGCAGAAGCCAGGTACTTCTCCTGGTCTCCCATGGGGTGCAGGGCCCAAGCACTTGGGCCATCCTCCACTGCACTCCTTGACCACAGCAGAGAGCTGGCCTGGAAGAGGGGCAACCGGGACAGAATCCAGTGCCCCGATCGGGACTAGAACCTGGTGTGCCGGCGCCGCAAGGCGGAGGATTAGCCTAGTGAGCCGCAGCGCCGGCCACGGAACTCTGAACATTTTAAAATATTTTTCAATTTTTTTGTGATCTCTTCCTTCCTTGCCATCTTCAAGCGTGTCATCTACTCTAACTAATCAAGTCTTACAAAATCTAATGCCAACTCAAGTGAATGCCTCCATGAAGCTGTCTCTCATAATTTTTCTCAACATTGAACTCATCTAATCAATCTTATTATTGCCATTATTACTGGAGAATATTATCTGTATTGATGGACCAGATCTATAAGCTTTGAAATATCTCCATAATTCCCAGAGTAAACTGAAAAACTGCTTTATTAAACAGCATAGATTTTTTCTAAAAATCTCTGCACCATCCAGAATTCCTCCTCTTTATATAGGCACATCAATGGTATCAAGAATTTTCTATATCATGGAACACATAATAGTTATTTGTAAAGAACATAGGCTTAAACTGCCAGCTGCTTTCTCAGGCCTGTAGCTCTCTGTCAGAAGCTGTAGCTTCATCAGGCCAGGCCAGCTGCTCTAACAGGTGAGGAGGGATCATCTCCTAACAGGTCACCAGTTGGGAAATTGGATATATTTTATAGAACTGTGTATTGCAAAGGAAATTTCAGAACCAAAACAGGCCAACTTTACTCTAATAATCCTTTTTAACACAATATAATTTTCAGAGTAATTTCTGAGAGTTTACCAATAATTTTCTCTCTGAATACTAGAAATGCTTACTTTTTTTCATAGAGGCTACAGTACCACAGCTCCTGCTTTAGAGGGTTCTTTTGTTAGTCTGGGAAGTAGTAATACTCTAAGTTGAAATATGTGATCAATTATGCCCATTCTATGATCACTGAACTCCTGTTTTTGAAAGCCCCACATGCAAAGTACTTACATACTGCCCATATCTTCAACTAACACTGTTTTCTTTGCAAGAAAAATTATTTCATATAAAATCATTTTTTATATTGAAGGACACCTCATTTGTGTTTTAAAAATATATGTCATATAAAATTTCAAGGAATATCAAGGAATAATATAACCAGAATATAATATTCTCATCATAACTAATGAAGCTCATACCGGTATGATTGTAGACAACATCTGTAATGCAAAGAACATTCCATTCCCTTTTCAGTTTTTCCACTAACTGTCCCACATCACTCCACGTGTATTTTTTATGAGGCCTTGAGAAGTCGGGATTTAATTCTAATTGGTCAGCAAGGGAGTAGCACGACCTAGACAGTCCAAGAGTCTGCAGTGGGGTAAAATGGATCATGTTGTAACCTGCAACATGAGAAAACAAAGACTATTATAAGAAAGAACAGATATCATCAATCTAGAACTAAGCAAAATATAAATTTAAACTTTCTTAATCATAAATAGTAAGGCAATCATACTTCTGGAAAAGACTCAGAGTCAAACCTTGGCTGTAGCATAAAAGGCATTAAGAAAATCCACTTAAGTCTTCCAGGATACCAGTGTCCTCAGATACAAGATGGGGATGAGAGAACGTATTCAGAAAAAAAACCATACATGGTGCCTAGTTATTATTAGGAGTTGAATGGATATATTAATATATACAAAAATATATTCTTCACAAGTATATCAACATATCTTCATTCTATATTAAAAATTAATTTATTTGAGAGGCAGACACACACACACCCATGGCGGGGTGGGGAGAGTGGAAAAAGGGGAGGAGTGAAGGACAGTGAGTAAGTGCTCCCACCTGCTGGTTCACTGCACAAATGCCTGCAATAGCCAGAGCAGCAGAGCCAAAGTTGGGGGCAGGCAACTCATCTCAGGTCTCTCACATGTATGGCAGGAACCCAATCATGTAAGCTATTACAGCTACCTTGCAGGGTCTGCACAAGGAGGAAACAGGAATCAAGAGCCAGAGCCAGGTGTTGAACCAGAGTACTCTGATATGAGATATGGGCATCCCAACTGGCATCTTAACTGCTAGGTTATTTGCCTGCCACTCTTTCTCTTACTTTTAATGTTCCAAAGTACTTCTATTCTGCCTTAGTTATATCAATGAGCTTCTTATTCCTTGTTTCATACTATATTCAACTTGAAAGTAGGAAATTAGAGGCTAGTGTTGGGGCACAGCAGATTAAGCCATTGCTTGCAATGCTGGCATCCCATATTGGAACACCAGCTGCTCTGCTTCCCATCTAGCTTCCTGCTACTGTGGTGCCTGGAAAGGCAGTGGGAGAGAGCCCAAGTGCTTAGGCTTCTGCCACCATATGGAAGACGCAGATGAAATTCCTGGCTCCTGGCTTCATCCTGGCCCAGACCTGGCAATTGCAGCCATTTGGAGAGTGAATCAGTGGGTGGAAGATATCTCTCTCTGTCTCTTCCTCTCTCTCTGTTGCCCTGCCTTGCAAAGGGAGAAATAAGAGAGGTAGAAAGGAAAGAAGAAAAGGAGACAGAAAGGGATAGAGGGAGGAAAGTATGAAAAAGGAAAAGTTAATATTACTCTTTAATTGAAAGACAATTTAAGTTTATGTTATTGTTGGTATGTCTGGCAGGACATGCTTTTCATATGGATGGGTTAATTAAGGTTTTTTAAATTATATATAACAACACAACTTTTCTAAACATTTAATAGCTTACTACTAGTTTTATAAGAGTCAAGACTGAAATGACCTCATTTTATTGTCGAGTTCCTTCCTTATTGAGTTGAACCATATAATTTGGTGAATGGTCAAATATAAAAAATTTTGTATAGTTGTAATTATATTATTAAATATGTTAAGGACAAATTAAGAGTAGAAGTGAAGCCTTTAACACCTGTATCACAAAATTATATCTTTTTAAGGCAAGGAAAAGAAAAAAAGCTTACATTACCTGATTCTTTTGCAACCCTAAGTCTGCTTTCCCATTCATCAAAGGGTCCCAAACACTTGGCTAAAAATGTCTGGAGAGTGACACAGTCCAAGTGTAACATGTGATTATCAGCACCAACACGTAAAATAGGATCCACAACTATGTAACCTCCACCACTTTTCTCATTTCTAGGGGGAAAAACAAGACAAAAACTTTTCTATTAATGGCAGGAAGAAAAATTCTCTTCTAATAGTCTGATTCTAACTGAAAGGTTAATTGCCTCTTTAAAAATAGACTGATTTCCAAGCACATAAAATTATTTACAAAGTTGTACCAAAAATTAATGGAAAAGTCACTGGATACCCTTTCCTTGTCTCTACAAAATTACATAATACAATGTTCATAATATCTAATAATATTGGTTTAATGAAAGGTAAGTATATTAAAGTCTGTTATAACCACAATGGCACCCAGATAAATAGCATACTATAATCAAGTTGCATAAAAAGACTAGAATTTTTGAAAAGACATATTCTTAATTCCTTGAATCTGCAATGGGTCACATATTACCTCCTAGTAACTGAAGAACCATATTCTGTTTTCATTTCAAGAAAGCACTGTAGCACTGTAAAAATTTCATTATCATGGTTTATACAGTAACTTTTTAGAAATCTGGTAACTCCAGATTGTACAATAAAGTAACTTTTTCCACATAGAGAACACATGACTTACCCTTGAAGGAAGTAATACTGAAATGAACCAGACTGTTGCAGATTGAGTTTGCAGTATTTATCAGAATCATCTTCTCTTTCTGTTGGATTTTCCCACTCCAGGGACCGGAATTTTTCTCGATTAAATGTTTCTCCAGGAAATGGATAATTTGTAAATACAGTAACTGGTTTTCCCTGTAAAGTTGGGCCTAATCGAAATTGTAGCTCAAATCCTAAACAAATAGCACATTTTAATAAACTCACTGTAGAACTTAAATTGCCACATTAAAAAAGGCATATTATTTAAGGTATTACAAAAACTATTACTTCTCAATTATATTTAAAACAACTGTAATACCTAATGCTGTTTTGGAAGTGCTTTGTATTCCAATTAAGCCACATTTAAAATTTTAATTACTAAACATTGTAGAATTGTCTTTTCTGTAATTCCTTCTTCCCTTGGAAACTGATTGCTATTCACACGGCTACGTTGGGATGTACAAATTCTTAGACGAGCCCATTTACCACAGCCCCCTCAACTCTCCCTTGCCCCTTATTTTACCCCAGATTTAAATGCTCAGAGGTAGGCATCTGAGCAGAGACCTTTTCTAGTACTTTCCAAACTGCAACAGAGAAAGGGAATTTCTCTGCAGTGTTAAGAGTGTGTGATAGTACATAAGACTTGATGGGTACCATGGGATAACTATCTCACCACACAGAGAAAGCCAGTCTTGGGTGAGGAACTTAACTTCTAGAGAGGGAGAACTGACTTCTCACAGGGATTCTGGAGGCATCTGAGCCTCTGACTGATGTAGCTGAAATCCAAGAGTTTGCTTATACAAGTTTTAACAAATGACTGGGGTGATGGGAAGTCCTGATTGGTAGTTGTCTGCTGACTTCTTGATGGAAACAATCCCACAATGGACAACCTTAGTCTATGAACATGATTACCAGTGAATGTGAAATTGGGAAGGGTTGTGCACAATCAGTTCTTGTAAGCAAGCACAGTGCCTCCAACACACTGCTGCCCCTCTATCCCTACTCTTCACAGTGCAGTTATCAAAGCCTTTATTAGAATCCTTAAGCTAATACATTCCCATTTTTGCCTAAGTTAGGTTATTTCTATTAAAATATATCTGAGATTTATATACTGTTATAAGTATTTTACCATAATAATATAAAAACTATAATATTTATACCTTTATAATTATTAAGATGTAAAAACTGACTATAGTAAAGTCTACTTAGATATACGGAGCATGTATATTTTAAGCATACATGTAACTTTTCAATGAACAGTAATAACTGAAGGCATGAAAATTTGGTTCTGCTGAGTATAATCTTAAATGTTTAAGGAACTTTTCTGAGAAGAAAGAAATATACTAATATCCATAATGCTCAATCAAACATTCAACAAAATAATAAAAAATTACATACTGGGTGCCTACCACATAATTGGTAACAAAACAAACAATGTTTCCTACCCTTGCAGATTTTGGGTTCTAAAGAGGGAAGGTGGCCATTAAACAACAGACCTAACAAATGGGACAAATGCTAAGGGGAAAAAGAAAAATCACAACAGCATAAGGAACAAGAGGGGAGGGCACGATGACAAGGAGGTGGTGGAAATTTTAAATAGGATGGTAATGGAGAAGCTGAGGGCTTAACAGAAGTGAGGTAGTTAGCTACATGACTATCGTGGCCATCTAGGGAAAACACCACTATGCAAAGGAAATGGAGAAGACAAAGTTCCAGATATAATAAGAAGTTTAGTACAGCTCAGTTGGAATAAGCTGAGGGGAGACCAGGAGGAAAGACAGGTAACAGGGACCAGATCATGTACAGCCTTGCAGGCCACTGTAAGTATGTTGGTTTCTCTGACTGAAATGAGGAGTCAGTAAACAGTTCCAAGTAGAAGAGTAACACGACCTGGTTTATGTATTAAAAATATCACTCTGAAAGAAAAAGAAAAAAAAATCATTCAAGATATATAACAGGTACTAAATTTGCCCTTTGCAGAAAAACAAAAAATAAATGAAACAACTGCTTTCCTAAGTAGACAGTTTAGGACTGTCAACCCTGAGATACAGGTAATCTTTGAAATTCTCAAACTTCCAGAGTCAGGCAACATCGTGGACTGTGGCAGGCAGAGTAAGAATGGAGGTCTCAGTGCACTAGGAGACAGATTAGAGTTTGGGGATGTTCAAGAGACCACAGTTTTCAAGGCAGAGTATTGCAGAGAAGAGAGCAATGCAAAGAGCGAGCTCCAGAATTCTACTGAAGGGCACCTGAATACTAAGCTTTACATGAGTAGGGCTTGACTTCATGAGGCTGGGAAATATAAACTGAACAATTCCCAGAACTCACATAGGCTTGGGAACCATTTGATTTTTGACCAGGGTGAAAAATCCTTGTGAATCCCTGGATTATTCAGTAGAGAAACCTAGAAGGGCCTACAATAAGTAAATAGTACAAACCTCTCAAGGCTTAGAAGCAGCCTCAAAAGGGATGAACTGATCACACATAATATAAATGGCTGCTAAAACCCACCACTCCATTGAAGCAAGACCACACAACCCAGAGATACTATGACAGAATATTCATAATGTGTAGTATCCAAGAAAAACTAAACATACAGAGGTGAGGCAGTTGATCACACAGATATAAGAGGAAGAGCACTGCATATGGAATAAACAGAAAACACAGAGGTTCTGAGATTTTTGCTCCTGGCAAAGACAGAATAAAAAGGATTGGATTTACCCTCCTCCTTAAAACAATGAAAACAACAAAACCAGACAAAATATATGAAATGATGGTTTTCAATACCCTGGACAACAGACAACAAAAGACAGTGGTCCCTACAGTTGCCCCTGTCTATTATCTTGAGGGACTTCGGCCTGGCTCAGCTCTACTGTTGAGGGAATTAAGGATGGGAGCCCTCTCTTTATTTGTCTCTCTCACTTACTCTGTCTTTCCACATCTCAAAAACAAATACAAAACAAAAAGTAGAGACATAAACAATAAATATCCAAATCAAACTTCTAATTCAAGAGGCTTAATAAATGAATATAGCTAATTAAAGTGTTAAACAAGAAGAGAGAAATGAGGACATAAAAATTATATGAATAATAGGTGAAAATATTAAAATTGGGTGGAAAAAACAAGAAGTCAAGAAGTTCAGTGGATCCCCAAAACAAGAAAATTGAATAAAATTACATTAGGGTCCATAAAAACCAAATGGCTCAAAACCAGTTACAAAGAGTATCTTACAGGTAGCCAGAGTTTTCCTGTAAGTACAGAGAAACAAAGATAAATCTGACAGGCCGGTGCTGCGGCTCACTAGGCTAATCCTCTGCCTGCGGCGCTGGTACCCAGGGTTCTAGTCCCGGTTAGGGCACCGGATTCTGTCCCAGTTGCTCCTCTTCCAGGCCAGCTCTCTGCTTTGGCCTGGGAAGGCAGTGGAGGATGGCCCTAGTGCTTGGGCCCTGCACCCGTGTGGGAGACCAGGAGGAAGCACCTGGCTCCTGGCTTCGGATCAGCGCTGCGTGCTGACCGTAGGGGCCATTTTGGGGGGTGAACCAATGGAAGGAAGACCTTTCTCTCTCTCTCCCACTAACTCTGCCTGTCAAAAAAAAAAAAAAAAAAAAAAAGATAAATCTGACATCAGATTTCTCATAAGGAACAATGCAAGTAAGAAAACAATAGAGCAACATCTTTAAAAGTAGTGAAAGATTAAAACTGTCTATCTAGAATTCCGTGCCTGATGCAAGCATTTTTCAAAAACAAAGGTTATAAGATTTTTTTTTTTCACTATCAGAGAACAATGTTACAAATAAACAAGGGGGGCAGGGAGACACAGTGACCCTTGTTTTGCTGGATATGAATCAGAGACACCAGTATGAACTGTTGTTTATGGATACATAAAATATATCAGTTTGGCTCAGGGAAAATCCTGAAACTGAGAACATGTAGTTATGTTCCATTATACTGAAACTGATTTTTGGTAGAAGTAAATCCCTGATAGAAATGTTGATAGGGTCGGCGCTGTGGCCTCCACCTGCAGTGCTGGCATCCCATACATGGCTATCGGGCGCTGGTTCGGGTCCCAGATGCTCCACTTCTGATCCAGCTCTCTGCTATGGCCTGGGAAAGCAGTGGAGGATGGCCCAGATCCTTGGGCCCCTGCACCCACATGGGAGACTCGGAGGAAGCTCCTGGCTCCTGGCTTCAGATCAGCCCAGCTCCAGCCGTTGCAGCTATTTGGGGAGTGAACCAGTGGATGGAAGACCTCTCCTTCTCTCTATGCCTCTGCCTCTCTGTAACACTTCTTTTCAAATAAATAAAAAATAAATCTTAAAATAAAAGAAATGTTTAACAGGTGATAAATGGTTCCACACAACAATATTAAGTATTGAGTAAGATACTCTCTGTAAACAAAAGATTTCAGTAAAAGACATGGAGAGGATGTTGAACCCTTCCAAGTTACTCTAATCCAATTAAATACTCCTATTATTCCAAAAGAAATATATAGTCAGCATTGCATTCTGCAATATGGAAAATATGAGGGAATGGAAGTTCTAAGCATTCTTGGAAAAGGTTATTACCTAGAGATAAGTACTGTTAACCGTATTTTTGGATTAATCCAAATTTTTGGATTAGAATATGGATAGAAATTTATTCCCAATAAATGGCTTAGCAAACAAAACTATATCATCCAAGTAGAGCTACTATGCAAAAATCCAGAGATTCACTTTTTACTTCTTACATTGTTCATTGAAATGAATAATTTTTTTTCTTTTTTTGGTCTTCCTTCCATTGCTTTACCCCCCCCAAAATGGCCACCACGGCCGGCCCGCTGCGGCCAGAGCGCTGCACCTATCCGAAGCCAGGAGCCAGGTGCTTCCTCCTGGTCTCCCATGCAGGTGCAGGGCCCACGCACTTGGGCCATCCTCCACTGCTTTCCCAGGCCACAGCAGAGAGCTGGACTGGAAGAGGAGCAACCGGGACAGAATCCAGCACCCCAACTGGGACGAGAACCCGGGGTGCCTGTGCCACAGGTGGAGGATTGGCTAGTGAGTTGTGGCGCTGGCCAAAAATGAATAATTTCCTTTTCTATTTCTTGTACCAATTTTTCTATAAAACTTGGTATTAACATATTGAGAGTTTATATTTCCTGACTAATTATTTTAAACAGGTATATTTAAAAATTCAGTGATATAAATATAATGTATAA